GTACTATTTTTTGGAATGACTATTTTTTGACTAAATAATCAGTCATTTTTACTAATTTCTACATTAAAATCTACTTTCTAAATTAATAAATTTTACTATTAATTAAATAGTACCTACTTATTTTATTTAGTTTTTATTTTACAATTTTTACTATTTTGGTATTTTACTTTTACTATTTTTTTAAATTACTATTTTAAAATAAATAATCAGTCAATTCTACTAATTTCTGCATTAAAATTTACTTTCGAATTTAATAAATTTTACATTTTTACTACTAATTAAATAGTACTTTATTTCACTTCCATTTTACTATATTTTACTATTTTTACTATTTAAATTTTCCTATTTTGCCTAGAAAAATAGTCAAATCAGAAAATACTATTTTTACTGTTTTACTATTTTTCAATTTTACTGTTTTACTATTTTTCAATTTTACTTGTACTATTTTTTTAAATTAATATTTTTGGTCTAAATAATCAGTCATTTTTATACTAATTTCTACATTAAAATTTACTTTATAAGTTAATAATTTTTACTATTAATTAAATAGTATCTACTTATTTTATTTTATTTTTGTTTTACAATTTTGCTATTTTACTTTTACTATTTTAATTAAATTACTATATTTTTAGACTAAATAATCAGTCAATTTTATTAATTTCTGCAATAAAATTTGCTTTCGAAATTAATAATTTTTACTATTAATTAAATAGTACCTATTTCGATTTTATTTTACTAATTTTACTATTTTTTTAAATTACTATTTTTGGACTAAATAATCAGCCAATTTTACAACTTTCTACATTTAAATTTACTTTCTAAATTAATAAATTTTATACTATTAATTAAATAGTACTTACTTATTTTATTTTATTTTTGTTTTACAATTTTGCTATTTTACTTTTACTATTTTAATTAAATTACTATATTTTTAGACTAAATAGTCAGTCAATTTTACTTCCATCGTATAGTAAAATTTACCTTGGATTTATTTTTTATTAAATAAATAAATAATAAATAATACTAAAAATATGAAATTGAATTTCTAAAGTAAAAATTAGAATTAAAGTAAAAAATAATGTAAAAATAAATAAAATAAATAGAAATAAAGAAAAATAAATAAAATAAAGAATAATAAAGAAAATAAAGAAATACAAATAAATGATAAAAATAAAAAATAAAATAAATGAATAAAAAATTAAATTGAGTATAAAAATAGGGAATTAAATAAAAATTAAGTAATTAAAATTAATTACCTAATTAAAATAAAAATGAAATAATAGAGAGAAAAAATAAAGTAAATTTTCTAGTAAAACAAAATAAAAATGCAGTTCCTAATGTACAACATTGTATATTGACAGTGAATAGATTTTCCTTTTATGAATTAAAATTTATTGTTGTAATTTAATACCACAATTTAGTTACTTAAGTTTCCTTTAGTTTCGTATAATTAAGGGCATTTGAACCTTGATGACGTTACAGATTGTGCAAAGCATGTGTGACGTCATCAAGGTTCAAATGCCCTTAAAGTATATACAGTTGGTCAGTTTTGTCGGTAATTAAAAATGATTTATGACTATAGAATTGTTTCAAAAGATTATATAGTTTTCTCAAACGGTTGCCTCTTTACAGTATTGATTCTATTTGTTACAAAGTTGGTAGTTACGATAATTTATATATATGATAATTTATTGATACTTTAACACTCGATTTCAAATATTATTGTATATAAAGGTACTACAGAAATTTATGAAATTTATACCAATAAATTTAATGGTAATAATTTATTTTCATTCAACTTAAAATTTCCCAAAAACTTTCACTTTTTTGAAAAAAAAAAATAATTGATAAAATTATTACTGCAATTGTAATTATAATAATTATTGTATTGAATAGAGGAAGGACATGAAAATTAATTTTCTTAATTTTGATTCTAGTATTTTGTAATTTTTACAATTATATGTAAAAGTATAATAGTTTTTATCATCGTCAGTTTCTTTTTAAATAATTTTATTTAAATTTTTTGCTTTATTTTAATTATTATTTGTTATAACGAATAAAAAATAAAGGAACTAAATAAAAAAGAAACAATAATAAATAATAAATAATTCGTTGTAACAAATAGTAATTAAAATAACAATAATAATGTAAATAATAACAATAATAAATAATAACAACAATATACATTTTATTTAAAAAAAAAATAACTAAATATCATCAATATAAAAATATAATGAATATTTATTAACATTATAATTGAGTTTTTTTTATGTGAAAATAAATTTCTTTTGAAATCAAAACATTTGGAAGAAATGGGAAATTTTTGGCCGAAATAGGTACATTAAAAATAGAATGATTTTCAACTAAATAAATTAATTAGCATTTTACAATTTTGGCCTCGAATTTTTGAGAAACAAGATCAATATGTATATTAAAATAATATTAAGATGTTTTTATTTTTTTAATTCCAAAAACTTTTATCGTATAGAGTCTAAAATATGTTAATATTTGTTTTTTAGAAAAAAAACAGGACCAGAAAACACAGATATCTGATTGCATATATGTTAATTTTTAATATGTATTTTATATTATTATAATAATTATTTCGCCTCAAGAAACATTTGTAGCGTGAAATTTATTTTTAAAAATAATGAAAATTATTATTACTATTTTTATTAATACTGCGTTACTATTTTTTGATTTGTTGTTATTATTGCTATTATTTTTTATTTATTATTTTGTTTATTTACTTCCATTTTGCGTGAGTTTAAACGAGCCCTTTCATATAGATTATTATTGTTATTATTAATTTATTATTATAAATATTATTATTATTAACACAATTTTTGTATATTAATTATATTTATTTTTAATTATTTTCATAAAATTTTTTTTAATTAATAAATATTTTATTACTACGATGAAGAACTTTCTTTAAAGTTTATATCTATAATAATATTTTCTTTAATATAGAAGAAAATATCTCGATAATTTATACATTAATTAACCTCATTTTTGTAAAAAGGCCGCCTTCATTCAAGATTCTAAATATTTAATATAATAATGAATAAAATTCTATTTAATTATTCAATTTTATCACCTTAAATGTCAAATTAAATTTATACAAATTTGCTTTTACCGGAATAAGCATTTAAAAATGTATAAACGTCATAATAAATTTTCCACTTTTCAATAATAAACGAAATAAAAGTAATTATGGAAAAATAATATTTTAATGATGAATGAAAATAAAAATTAGACTGAAAAAAATGTATTTGATTCGAATATAAAGGAATATATACTTGTTTAATATCAAATAAATGAATTTGCTTGAATCATGTAAAGAAAATATTTACTAGAATCAAAGAAATATTCAGCTGAATCAAAGAAATATTTAGTTGAATCAAAGAAATATTTACTTGAATAAAATAAATTTTTTATTTATTATATAAATCAATTATTTAAAAAGATTTTTCAAAATTCATCGAAAAAAATTAAATTATTTTTAGAAATAATCAAATTCATCGCAAAAATTAAATTACTTTCATTAATAATTAAATTCTTCTCAAGAATTGAATTATCATCAAAAATAATAATATTCTTCCCAAGAATCCAATAATTTGCACTGAAATTTTAATAAAATTTCTCAAAAATTCAATTACTTATATGAAAATTTAAATAATTCTCTTCAAAAAAATTTATTATTTTTAATTAAATTTTAATTGAATTTATCGAATGAATTCAATTATTATTAATTTTAATCAAATTCTTTTAATTAAATTTCTCAAAAATTCAATTATTTTTGAAAATTACTCAAAAGATTACATCTATTTTCAAAATTTTTTATAAAATTCTTTTCCAGAAATTCAATTATTTTTATAAATAATAAAATTCTTTTCCAGAAATTCAATTATTTTTATAAATAATAAAATTCTTCTCAGGAATTCAATTATTTAAAAAATTTTTAATAACAATCGTTGCAAGAATTCAATTAGTATTTTCATTAATAATATTTAATTTTCAATGAAAGTCAATTATTTAAAATTCAATTTTCATAAAATTTTTGGAAAAAAATCATTTCTTTAAAAAGATTTTTTTTTAATTCTTCTCAAGAATGCAATTAATTAAAAAACTTTATTAAAGTTCGGTGACAAAAAATTCAATTATTTGCATATATAATAAAACTCATCGCAGGATTTCAATTATTTTTAATATAATTTTAAATTAATTCAGCTAAAAACTCAATAATTATTCTTAAAAATTTGAATAAAATTCTTCGAAAAAATTCAATTATTTAAAAAAATTTGATTTAATTTGTTTCTTAGAGTGTAATAATTATTTTCAATTAATTTTTAATTACATTTCTTAAATGAATTTAATTATCAAAAATTGTAATGGAATTCTTCGTAAAAATTCAATTATTTTAAAAAATGTTGATAAAGTTCTTTAAAAGAATTCAAATAATTTAAGAAATATTCAATTTTTCAGATAAATTATTTATTATTTAAAATTTTAAATAATTGAATTCTCGTAGAACTTTCTAAGAAGAAAAGAATTGATTTAGAATTGAATAAAATAAAATGATAAAAGTTTTGAATAATTTTATTTATTTCAAGAAAAATAGGATTAAATTTTGAAAGAACTTGTAATTTTTAGAAATAATTAAATTTCAAAAATGCGTTACATCGAAATCATTCGAAATATTTTAATTCTTGACAAAGAAAAGTAAAGAGGCAAAGTAAAGAGGCATTTAATTATTTATTTAAAAAACTTATTCTATTTTTGAATGTAATTAAGAAATTATAAAAAAATTGAGTCAAGTTTAATTTTTCGATAGCTACTTTTTTACTACTTTTTTCCTGTCTTCAAGCTACTTTTTGCTACTTTTTAAAAATTAACTATCGAGTACGAAACCTGCAATATTATGTTAATATTTTTTATTTAATGGATTTTCTTTAGAATGTTTAAAAAATTTTTTTTTTCTTTTTTCTGTATTTCAGTCGACGATGGTCAGGCGATGATGACGATGATGACGACGAGGATGTTAGAGGAAGTCACGTGACCACTGAACATCCCCTTGCCGAAGCATCAATTCCTCTTGTTTCTCATTCTCATCTACAGGAAACGGCAACTGTTACGCCGGCTGTTGTTATTAATAACACCGGAAGTCAAATACATCGGGCCCATGCTCCAAATCAACAAGAAAGTGTCTTACAAAAATTTCGAAAAAGTTTCTCCCTAAGATTTCATAAAAAAGGCAGTAAAGAAAGCACCGAGAGTGAATGTCCACCGGATTGTAATGAGGGTTCAATGAATCTCGACGATGATGATGATCGTCATTTGGCACCAGCCTCCGATCAATCACAACATAAAGAGGATTCGGGAAATGATCAAAGATTTAGGTCAGTAGTTTGAAGAAAATTTATCAAAAAAAAAAAAAAATTACTTAGTATTCAATTTATTATTTTTTTTATTAGGCAAATTACTAAATTTGTTATTTTTAAACAAAAACTTCAATTTTTGAATCATTTTAGACTATAATTTTATTAAAGAAATGACTTATAAGCTAATTATCTAATTTATTATTAATATTTAGAATTTTCAAAAATATTTTAACGAAATTCATTGCAGAAATAAAATTAAATTATTTTCACAAATAAAAACATTTTTCTGCAAGAATTCAATTAATATTTGTAAATAATAAAATTTTTCACAGCAAATACAATTATTTTTAAAAAATTTTATTAAATTCCTCGAAAGAATTCAATTAATTTCAATGGAGTTTTAATAAAATTTTTAGAAATAATTCAAATATTTTTGAAAATTTAAAAAAATTTCTTTGTAACAATTCAATTATTTTCATGAATAATAAAATTCTTCACAGGATTTTTAATTACTTGAATTTAATAAATAGTTTAACAATAAATTTTTATTTCCTTTTAAATTTAATTAAATTTTTTTAAATACAATTTTCAAAAATTTGAATAAAATTCTTCAAGACCATTTCTAAAAATTTCTTGCACAAATAGTATCACAAAATTTATTCTCTAAAACTAAATTAGAACTAGAATTTGAACTAATTAGAAGAAAAGTGATATTAAATTTCTAATTAATTAATTTTTTTATTATATTGAATTATTATAATTAATGAAACATAATTTTTTTTTTTATAAAAAACGAATGAAAAATATTTTTTGTTAATGTAATTTTTGGAGTGGAGTTAATAAAAATGTTTTTGTTCATTTGTAGATTTGGACCGCTTGTTTGGAGAAGCAGTAAGGAGAGGAAAAAGGGGAGCAAAGCAGCGAGAAGCGCAAAATGCAATAGCGGCGACAGTGGCATTCAAATCGAGGTAACAAAATTAGCTTCGCCATCAAGCTCTTATTTCGTAGGGAATGCTTTGAATTTATTTGCAGCTTAAATATATTATATTCCCCTTGCCTCTCTTTTTACTCTCGAGAATGTTTCTCTAATCTAATTATATTAGTAATTTGCTTTTATTTAGAAATTTTTTTTCGACCTATTTCCGAAAAATTGGATTATTGTCAAACTATATATTATATTGAAATATTATGGAATTTTACATTCTCATAAAAAAAAAATGAGAAATTATAGAATTTTACATTCTCATAAAAAAAATAAAAAATTCTTTACATTCTCATATCAGAAATGAGGAAAATTATTTTTTTTCACTGTCTCATCACTAATGAGGTTTAATTACAGGCTTCGTACTCATATACTTCAATTTTTTTTATAAATAATCAAATTCTTCTCAGGAATTCAATTATTTACATAATAATAATTTCATAAAATTTTTTAAAAAATCAATTATTTAAAAAGATTTTTTAAAATTCATCCAAAAATTCAATTATTTTCAGAAAAAATAAAAATCTTCCTACACATTCAATTATTTCCATTAATAATTAAATTCTTCTCAGGAATTGAATTATCGTCAAAAATAATAATATTCTTCCCAAGAATCCAATAATTTACTCTGAAATTTTAATAAAATTTCTTAAAAATTCAATTACTTATGAAAATTTAAATAATTTTCTTCGCAAAAAATTTATTATTTTTAATAAAATTTTAATTGAATTCATCAAATGAATTCAATTACTTTTAATTAAATTATTTTAATTAAATTTCTCAAATATTTCAATTATTTTTGAAAATGACTCGAAGGATTTATTATTTTCAAAATTTTTTATCAATTTCTTTTCCAGAAATCCAATTATTTTCATAAATATTAAAATTTTATGCAGAAATTCAGTTACTTTAATTAATAATTAAATTCTTCTCAGAAATTCAATTATTTAATAAGATTTTTATAAAATTCTTCGACAAAAATTCAATTACATATTCTTAAAAATTTTATTAAATTCTTTTCAGGAATTCAATTATTTAACAAGATTTTTATAAAATTCTTTGCAAGAATTCTATTGTATCAAAAAATTTTAATAGAATTTGTTTCTTAGAATTTAACAATTAGATAATTACAAAATTTTTTATAACATTTTTTTCCAGAAATTCAATTATATTCATGAATATTAAAATTCTACGCAGAAATTCAGTTATTTTCATTAATAATTAAATTCTTCTCAAGAATTCAATTATTTATTAAGATTTTTATAATATTCTTCGATAAAAATTCAATTATTCTTAAAAACTTTATTAAATTCTTTACAGGAATTTAATTATTTAATAAGATTTTAATAAAATTATAAATAAATTAATTAATTTTAATTAATTCAATTATTTTTAAAATTTTTATAAAACTCTGTGCAAGAATTCAATTATTTAAAAAAATTTTGATATAATTTGTTTCTTAAAATTTAACAATTATTTCCAATACATTTTTAAATAAGTTTCTGGAAAAAAATTAATTATTCTTAAAAATTTTGGTAAATTCTTTTAGGAATTCAATTATTTAATTTTTAATAAGATTTTTATAAAATTCTTCTCAAAAATTCAAGTATTTTTAAAATTTTTATAAAATTCTTTGCAAGACTTAAATTATTTAGAAAAATGTTGATATATTTTGTTTCTTAGAATTTAACAATTATTTCCAATACATTTTAAAATAAATTTCTCGATAAAAATTAAACTATTATCAAACATTTTAATGAAATTCTTCGTAGGAATTCAATTATTTTCAAAAAAATGTTGATAAAGCTCTTTATGGGAATTCAATTTTAAGAATTATTCAATTATTCAATAAATTATTTATTTTTGTAGTTAAATAATTGAATTCTCGTAGAATTTTGTACCTTATAAGAATTGATTGTAATTCAATTTCAGTTAAAATTTTAGATAATAATTGAATATTAAAAAGCGTTATAGTGTGAATTTTTAGAAATAATTATATTTCGAAATAGATTTTTTGTTGAATTGAAATCTTTGAAAATTTTAATTGTAAAACTTTAATAATATTTTTATTTTATTTTGTAATAAAATGATTAGTTTTGAATAATTTTATTTAAAAATTTCAGTAAAAAAAAAATGATTGAACATTGGAAGAATTAGTTTTAATTTTTCGAAATAGTTCAATTTTAAAAATGCTTTACATTGAAATTGTTTAAAAAATTGTAATTCCTGTTGGAAAATAAATAGCTATTTAAATATTAATTGAAAAAGAAATATTCTAGTTTTTAATATTTATTTAAGAAGAAATATTCTATTTTTAAATATTTATTTAAAAAGAAATATTCTATTTTTTAATTATTTATTTAAGAAAAAATATTCTATTTTTTAATATAATTTAATTTAGTCATTAAGAAATTGAGTCGTCAAGTTTAATTTTTCGAAAGCTACATTTTTACTACTTTTTTTCCGTCTTAAATCTCCTTTTTGCTACTGTTTTAAAATTATTTCTCGAGTACAAAGCCTGTATTTGTAATTTTTTCTTCTTTTCACCGAGAAGATGTTACATTCCCCAGGGAGATAATTGGATAAAAATATTGTTTAATTCAATGGGTGCAGGGGGGAAGAAAAAAGAATTTTTTTCAAAAAAAAAAAAAAAATTAAATTAGAGCAGAATATGAAACGATGCACGTTGTGTCTCGTAGATGGTATCTGGTGGTGCGTTGACTGGGGGCAGTGTTGGAATAATGGGAGGCGGTGACAGCTCTGAATCTCATGACACCGATGTCCCTGATGAAACGGACAGCCCTCCAGCCGCGCGAAGGCGAGTCGCCGATAAATTACGACCCCAGTCCGAGCTCATTAACCAGATACTACTAGACAAATTAAAGGTAAAAATGTCCCATCACTTTTGTGTCCAAAATTCGACCAAAAAATTCATTTATCAAAAAAGGAAATTTACAACCAAAACAAAAAAATTACCTGTCATTCATAATATTTCAGGGTGGTCGCAAAAGTCAAAGGGGACAAAATTTTTGAAAATCAGAAAAATGTTAGGAAAATTTCTTAAGAAAATTTTAAAAATTTTATTTTGCCACCACTTTGTATTTAAATTCGCGATAATGAGGAAAAAATTAACAAACCATTTTCATTTTGACATTTTTTCACATTATGCACTCGCTTGTTGATCATATTGTAGAAATTACTCTCATAGAATGCATGACAATTTTTTTTTACTATTTTGAAAATTTTCCCTTTTTCTGTAAATTAATTTTTGACAATTTTTTTACTTTTTATTTTTCTGTTTTGAAAATCACTTTTTTTGAATATTTACCAAAATAGAATAGAAAAATTATTATTTTCCTGTTTTTGAAATATTGCACTTTTTTGAATATTTAACCGAAACCGAAAAATTAAGTAGGTACTATTTTGCTGGTTTGAAAATATTGCACTTTTTTCCTGTTTAGAAAACATTTATTTTTTTTTTTGTGAATATTTACGAATATCGAACAGAAGAATTACTATTTTTCTGCACTGAAAAAAAAATTATTTGATTCAAATAACCGGTTACTTGACTATTATCAATTAAATATTTACTTGAATCAAATAATTTTTATTTGAGTCAATTAAATGATATTTGAAACAATAATTTCAGTATTTGAAGCAAATATGAACTGAATTATTTAATTGACTCAAACAAAATTATTTGATTCAAGTATAAATATTTAATTGCTAAAAGTCAAGTAATTGGTTATTTGAATCAAATAAATTTTTTTTTCGGTGTGTAATTTTTTTACGGACGTAAAAAATTTTTCTAAAATATTTTTTTATTTAGAAAATATAATTAGGGGATTAAAAGAACATTTATATTTGATATTTAAATATTAAATATTATTATTTGACTTTGTGGAAAAATTTTCTCTCATAACTGAAAGTATCCAACTGTTCTTTATCAGCGACTGTTATTTAAGTTTATATACAGAGACACGATGGCTCACGGATCTGATAGTTTTGATAAATAATAATCTTCTTGCCTTGCACGTGCAAAAGTTGATATTTTATAATTTTTTATAATAAAAGCAGAAATTCCCTTCTACTTCACGCTATTAATTTCTAAACCGATCTCGGTTTAGATGTTATTTCATGACTATTCGATTAATTGCACGTATTTAGTATAATCTATAGTGATCAATATAAATTTATAATCCTCAATTCCTATCGCTATTATAGTGTTTAATTTACAGTAATTATTCAACCCCTTTCAATTAATTTAATTTGTGCTTCACTAAAAATGTGTTTTTTGAGGATTTAATTATTGTCATAAATATTAAATTTCTTCGCATGAATTTAATTAATAAAATTGTGGCAAGAATTCAATTTATTTCCAAAAAAAAAAATTTATTTACGAATTCAATAATTATATTTTTTATTACAATTATTAACAAACACGTTAATTTAAAAAACTTGAAACTAATTCTTTGTAAAATTCAAATATTTTTCACATTTTCAATTTAAATTTAAATTCATAAAAAATCTACATTATTTTTAAAAAAATTAAAGAAATTCTTCGAAAGAATTATTTTTTAAACGAAAACTGTAAGAAAATTGTTTCAAGGAATTTTTTCTATCAATAATTTTAATAGAATTTAATAATAAAATTTTTATTACAATTATTGACAGAATCGATTATGTTTAAGAAATTAAAGAAATTCTTCAAAAAGAATTTAATTTTTTTAAATTAGTATTTTTTCGGAAGAATTTAATTATTTTCTAAAATTTCAATAAAATTCTCTGCAATAATTCAATTATTTTTGGAAACTTTAATAAAAATCCTTCTGAGGAAATAAATTATTTAACTTCAATTTTAATTTATTTAATTTCTATTATAAGTATCGTAATATAATGTATTTTATTTATAAACAGAGAAAAATAGAATATCTGTTTGGATATTATACGAAAAGAGGAAGTGAGAAACTTCCTTACTTTGATATCAAAATAATATAAAGAGCAATCAGAACTCGTTGGCCATTGAACTCTTATTCATCATTGCACGTTTACATTTCACACAACTTTGTGTATTTTTAAAATACTTCTTTTGTTTCAATAAAAAAAAAGTTACTTTGCAAAGAAGTGACGAAAAACGAATTCTTTTTTTTTCTATGAAAACCAGTTATATCGTTGAAACAAAATTTACCAGGAACTTTCTACTATCAGTCTTAGATAAAGAAAGTGAGAATTTTTTTTTATTTTCAATATCACGTGTGCTTCTAACAAAGAAATTCTTTTCGTAAAAATTCGGAAAAAAATACAGAAGAAAAATAAATAAAATCAATCTTTCATTGGGTTTTTTGTGTTCAAGCGTTCGTCTAAAAATCATTTTTAATTTTAATTTTGTTGGATTTTTTCTTTAGTTAATTTTATAATTTATTTTTTAATTTGTTCAATTTCGAGTAATTTAATTAGTTTTAAAAAAATAAAAAATTAACGAAAGTAATTATTTTATTGTACTTTTTTTCCAGTGTTTTTTTATTTAACCTCGAGAAATTTAATTAGAAGAAATAAAAAATTGATGAAAGAAGTAATTGAAAAAAAAATTAACGAAAATAATTATTTTTTGAACTTCGAAATTGTGAAATAAAAAATTAACGAAAATAATAAATTTTTTGAACTTATATCGATTTAATTAATTAAAAAATTAAATATTAACGAAATTAATAATTTTTTTGTACGAAAGCAATAATTTAAGAAAAAATTATCGAAAGCAATAATTTAAGGAAAAAATTAACGAAAGTAATATTTAAGAAAAAAATTGAGAAAAGTAAATAATTCCGTGACTAATATTTGACGTTGATTTTATTTTTAGGCGGACCTACAGAGCAGGACAACGAGGCATCATATTGTAAGAAGGACAAATAGTGATTTAGGAGGACAAAGACTCCTTCAATGGGATACACGTTCTGGATATAGTCATGTTCATAATTACAGAAGAATGCTGTCAACACCATCGCCAATAAAGACAAGACCACCGCGACTGAGTCCAAGGCACTCCGATATCATTACCCTGAGAAGGTGAATTTTTTATTTCTAAAACAATTTAATTTCTTCTATCGCGTATTCGCCATTTGTCTCTCGCAAAGAAAAAAAATATTAATTAATAACAAATAATAAACGAAAAAGCAAAATAATAATGCATTATCATATATACGAATCGAGGCGTTAATAAAATTTTAATTCTTGACAAAAAAATGGAATTCAGCTTCAATTATAAATGCTAATATCGTTTTAATTAATTTCGTGCTTCCACATATAGAGAGAAGTTTATATTTTACAATTTAGTAAATTTAAAATTTAATTTTACAATTTAGTAAATTTAAAATCTAGTTTTACAATTAAGTTCATTTGAAAAAAATTGGTAAAGAATTTTTCTTTGACGTATTTTTTTAATAATATTCGATTTTGTTAATTTAAAATTGTTTTTAGTAATTATTTTGTAAAAAATGCCTAATTATTGGTCTATTATATAATTAGACCTTTTTATTACGAAATATTATTATAATAGTGTCGAAAATATTTCCTCGCAAGAAAAACAAATATTTTTCGTAAGAATTCAAGTTTTTTTGAAAATTATAATAAAATTTTTCGAATGAATTCAATTATTTTCCAAAATTATGATTAAAAATTCTTTAAGAGAATTAAATTAGCTTTAATATAATTTTAAATGAATTCCTCGAAGGAATTCAAATATTAGAAACAAATTTTAATAAAATTTTTCGAAAGAATTCGATAATTTTCAAAAATTTTGTTAAATTTCTTGAAAAAGAATTCAGTTATTTAAATATAGAAAATTTTAATAAAAATTTGCAAAGTAATTCAATTATTGTCGAAAATTTTTATAAAATTCTCCGCCGGAATTCAATTATCTTCAAAAATAATAAAAATTCTTCGAAGAAATTAAATGATTTTCTATACAATTTTAATAATTTTTCTTAAAAATTCAATTATTTTTGAAAATTCAAATAAATTTCTTCGCAGAAATTGAAATTCAATTATTTTCATAAATAATAAAATTCTTCACAGAAATTCAATTTTTTGCAATAATAATTAAATTCTTCGTAGGAATTCAATAATTTTCACTGAAATTCTAATAAAATTTATCGAAAATTAAATTATTTTTTACAATTTAAATAATTTTCTTTCCAAAAATTTAATTATTTTCAATTAAATTTTAGAATATTTTATATCCTTAAAAAATACATTTTTTCTAAATTTTAATCAAATTCTTCTCAATAATTTAATTATTTATATAAATAATTAAATTCTTCGCAGGAATTCAATTATTTTCATAAATAATAAAATTTTCCGCAGGATTTAATTTATTTTTAATAAAATTTCTTAAAAGAATTTTATTATTTGAAAAAATTCCAATAAATTCTTAGCTGAAATTCAATTACTTAAGAAAATCTTAATTTCATTTCTTTATATGAATTTAATTATTTTTGAAACATTTTTATTTTTCTTTCTGGCCTATTTAGATCTTTTTTTTACAAAATAATTTTACAGTAATGTCTAGAATATTTTCTTTCAAGGAAAAAATTAATAAATTTTTAAAAAAATGAGAGGAAAACTATTTTTGAAATTATAAAAAAAATACAAAAAATAATTTTAAATTACGAAAACAAATAATAAAAAGTACAAGAAAATTATCATTTTAAATTAACTATTAAAGAATTTAATTTAATAATTTGATAAATTACATAATTTCAATTAATCTAAAATTAGATTTGCTTAAATTTAGAAGGAATTTTTACAGCTGCAAACATTCGTAAAGCTAGAAATATTCTTATCGCCTCGATTCTGCTTCGCACAGAAAGCTGAAAAAAGCAAAACGCTGCTGATTGCCAAAATGCTTTGACGCTATACATTAGTGCACAATATTATACCAGAAAATCGCTTTTCTTGAAAAGAAAATTATTCCTTTAAAAATGAAAATTTTTTCCCCATAAATAATGCATGTATTAACGAAAAATATTTCAATAACCAAAATTGCTTGCAAGCAAAAATTTGTTGATAAATAAACAAAAAAGAAAAGAAATAATTAAAAAGCAAACAAAAAAGAAAAAACAAAAAATAGAAGAAGCAAAAAAATAGAAAAAGCAAAAAAAGAAGCAAAAGGAAAATAACTGAAAAGTTATTTTTAAAAAAAAGATTTCAATATTTTTGAAAACCTAAATATTTCCACAAAATAAATTTTTTTCCAAGAAAAACGATTTTGCTAAATTACAAAAAGAAAAAATGGTCTGTTGGTTTAAAAAAGAAAATTTTCTTTTATTAACAAAAAAAAGAAACTATTTTGATCAAAAGAGACAAATATTTTTTTGCAAATATATTCTCTGTAAATAAGCAAAGACAAAAAAAAACAATCGCTGCTTAATTAAAATGAAACATTATCATCCCATCAGAATTTCGTTTTTGGTCAAAATTTAAATTCTTTTATTCGAACCTTTCCAGTAAATCGAGGGAAAATAGTGGTAGGTAGACGGGTATAACATTTTATTTTCTCGTAAAAGTTTGATTGTCACACGTAATTCTTGTCGTGTATATACATATACTTATATATATATACTATATTTATAAACCTTTGTAACACGTTGCTGAATGTTTAATTAGAGCTTCTGTACACGCTTGTGATAAACCTTTAAAATAATTTAATTTATTAATTTGAATAAAGAATATATATATTCGAAAAGAAAAGAAAAAATAGAAATGAAAATTGCTATATTATTTTTCTAATCGGAATATTTTTTCTCCATAACAGTAACGCGAAAGGGAGGTGTTCTCGGACAAATTTGAGACGTTCTCTCAGTCAGCCATTGGGTATCAATCAACTTTCTCCATTGATGCGCACTAAAACTGCAGGTAATGAGAAAATGAATAATTTTTTTTTTCAAATTGAATTTAGTATATAAAAAATTATTATTATTATTAAGGAGAAAAATTTATTGTAGTCTTGAAAATTTCCGATTGATTGCCTTTATAAATACTCGACTCCCTATATAGTTCAGAAACGTTGAAATCTTGTAAATTCTTGCATAAAAAAAACTCTCAAGTATTGATTCTAATTAGACTCTAAAAATTGATTAAACCAGAGTTCCCACAATTTTGTAAATTTTGTTTTTGATTTTTTTTAAATAAAAATATTTGGAAATTTTATTTTTCATCTGTTTATTGATGAAAATTCGAAAAGTTTTGAAATTCAATGATTCAAAGTAATTTTTTAATTTTTATATGAAATAAAGTAATGAATTTTATTTTTCTATCTGTTTATTGATAAAAATTCGAAAAGTTTTGAGAATTTCAATAATTCAAAGTAATTTTTAATTTTTATTTTCAATAAAATGATGAATTTCATTTTTTCATCAATTTCATCCATCAATTGATGAAAATACGAAAAGTTTTGAGAATTTTAATAATTCAAAGTGATTTTTAATTTTTATTTAAATAAAAAAATTAAATAAAAAATTACTAAATTGTTATGAATTTTAAAACACAAAGTCATTTTTAATTTTTATTTTAAATGAAATGCTGAATTTTTTTTTCATCATTTTATTGATAAAAATTTCAAAGAGTTATGAATTTCAAAATTAAAAGTTATTTTTTATTTGTAATTTGTATTTGAAGTAAAATTCTGAATTTTTTTTTCATCATTTTATTGATAAAAATTTCAAAGAGTTATGAATTTCAAAATTGAAAGTCATTTTTAATTTTTATTTTAATTGAAATTATTTATATAATTGAATTAACCACAGATGAAAAATTAATTTTATTATCAAAAAAAATTTTAAACTAAAAGAAAATTATTGCTGGTGGAATTTTTTTTACTTGAGTAAAATTTAAGAACATTTATAAACAACGATTAGAAAACAAATTATTTTTCACGCACAAGACAATCGAATTTTCCATTTACAATTTTTTCCGTCAAAAATGGTTATTGACTGAAAGTTGAAAAGTTTTTTCAGAACAAAATTTAGATTCTTAGAAAAATATTAAGAAATATTTTCTAAAATTTAAATTTATGAAAAATTATTTAAAATTTAGAGAAAACCTTTTTAAGAATAAAATTTAGATGGAAATATTTTCTAAATGTAAATTACTTAGAAAAGTATTTTGTACGAAATATTTTCTAAATCAAAGTAACTTTTTCAGAATGAAATTTCGATAGAAATATTTTCTAAATTTAAATCTAGAAAAGACTTAAATATTTTGAACAAAATATTTTCTAAATAAAAAAAATTTGTTTTGAAAAAACTTTTCCAGAACAAAATTTAGATAGAAGAATAATTTCTAAAAAATATTTTCCAAATCGTTGATTAATAAATGTGAAAAAAACATTTTTTGAAACTTTTTTTTACCAACAATTTTGATCTTTTTTTTATATATATACAATAAAATTAAATAATTAAATTAAATGGGTTCTCTGTTAAGTGCATGTTTAGAATCTTTCTATGCACAGTATTCCCCCTCAATTTTTTGAGTAATATACAAATATTTTGCAAATATCCAAATATGTAAAATAAAAAAAATACTGTAAATTCCAAGTAATTTTGCTTTGTCACCTTATACCAATAATATTGTATATTTGAATCGAAAAAAAAAATAATCTCGTTAATTATTTTTCTCTGTTCTTATTTCTCTATAGCAAGCAGCCAATAAATATTGTGGAATTGAAAGTTTTTTGTGAAAAGAAAATTTCTTTTTCTAATATTAATTTTGTTTATTCTCTTTTTTGCTAATAAATGTGTTTTCTTTTTTTTGGTGAAATTAGGTGCGAGGTTACCCGGTGGTAATGTTTTGTCCGAGGACGAGCAAGACGGAAAAGGAGGGACTTCTGATGATGAGATGATGTCTGATTCGGAATCGTCTATCGCCTCTTTGACGGATAGAAAAAAGTCCTTTGAACAGACGATGGACGATGAGATGGTGATATTGGCGGAGGCGGTTTGGGACCATATTGCCATTGAAACTGAGGAACTTGCTTTTCGTGCTGGTGATGTTATTGACGTTATGGACACGATGGACAAGGACTGGTGGTGGGGAAGTTGTCGTGGAAAATTCGGATGGTTCCCCGCTGCTTTTGTGCGGGTACGTCTGGAATAATATTAATTTTTCTTTTCTATTTCGAATTCTAAATTAATTTTCAATTATTTATTTGTGTAACAAATAAATAATTAAAAATTAATTTTGGAATTCGAAAATATAAATTGTAATTTTTGGACTTTAAATTTATTAAATATTTAATTATTTATTGTTGAATTTGCAGCTTCGAGTGAGTCAAGAAGACACGGTGGAGGATTGTTTGGCAGCGATTGCATCGGGAGCGTCTTCAAATTCTCAATTGAGGCGACGCACGAGTATTTCATTGCTGTCGAACGAGCAAGTGAGAACGAGCGTTGTTCGTGAACTTGTTCAAACTGAACGCGATTTTGTCAAAGTTCTTAAAGACGTTGCCGAGGGTTATATCGCCGAATGTCGCAGACGCACTGACATGTTCACCGAGGCGCAAATTGAAACAATTTTCATCAATCTCGAGGAATTACTCGATTTCCAGTCGGAATTCTTGAAGGATCTCGAGGCCTGTATCGATTGGAATTCCCCGCACAAAAGTTGCGTTGGCGAATGTTTCCTTAGTCATGTGAGTTTTGTATATCGAAAAACTATTTATTTTCTGGCAGTTTTTTTGGAAATTAGGAAAAAAATTAAAAATTTCAAATCTCATGTTTCTAAAGTTCTGGACGTTCAATAACTTAAAATAAATCAAATAGAATAAAATTTTATTTTTCCAAAAGTTTATTAAATTGAATTTAAAAGTTGAAAAAGTTGAAATTGAAAATGAAATAGAAATAGAAATAGAAATAGAAATAGAAATAGAAATAGAAATAGAAATAGAAAGAGAAATAGTTGAATAGATAAATAGAGGAGAATATCATTTAAAATTTTTTTTTATAGGAAAATAAAAATGTTTCGAATTTTTTGATTGCAGAGAAACGGTTTTCGAATGTATTCTGAATATTGTAATAGTCATCCGATGGCAACGGCGACACTACAGGAACTTTATCAATACGATCAGTATGCACAATTTTTTGAAGCCTGCCGTTTGATGCGTGGACTGATAGAAATACCGTTAGACGGCTATTTACTCACTCCGGTTCAAAGGATATGTAAATATCCATTGCAGCTAGCCGAGTTGCTCAAGTACACAAAAGCCGATCATCCCGATTATCAAAAAATCCAAGAAGCTTTAGAAGCCATGCGAGGCGTCGCTGTTCTTATCAATGAGAGGAAACGAAGAATGGAAAGTCTAGAGAAACTTGCGGCCTGGCAACTTCGAGTTGAAGGATGGGAGGTAAAATTATTTTCATTCAAAAATATTTATTTCCACAATTCTATTTTAAAAATTTATGAATTTTATGAATTTTATCATCAATTTTGTCAATTTTATCATCAATTTTTATCAATAAAACAGGCCTCGCACTCATTTACTAGAACCTACTATTTACTACTTTTTTTACGATTTGCTACCATTTGGATACTTTTTTTTATTTCTTACACTAAAAGCTACTTTTTTCCATGTTTGAGAATTTACACTACTTTAAATTTTTTAACAGTTGAAATAAAAAAATTATTTTAACAAATGTTAATAAAGTTATTGGAGAAAATTCAAAAAATTTTAATAAAATTCTTTAAAATGATTCAATTATTTTCACAAATTTTTCCTAATTCAATGATTTTTAATATCTACTAGGTATTTTAATAAAAATTCCACAAAAGAATTGAATAACATAAAAAAAAATGTTTATAAAATTCTTCGCAAACATTCAATTATTTTCATAAATAAAAAAATTCTCACAGCAATTCAATTATTTAAAATAGAATTTTCCTAATATTTTTAGAAAAAAATAAATTATTTAAATAGATTTTTATAAAATTCTTTGCAAGAATTCAATTATTTAAAAAAATTTAAATGAAATTCTTTATAATAATAATTGAATTGTTTTCAATATAATTTTAATAAAATTTTTTGAAAGACTTAAATTATTTTCATAAATAATATATACAATTATCAAAGAAATTTATTCAATTAAAACACAATTTTCATAAAATTTGTTGAAAAAAATCATTTCTTTAAAAAGATTTTTTAGAGTTCTGACAGTCGGCAATGCCACAAGTCATTTAAGAAGAAGAAGAAGAAAAAGATTTTTTTAAATTCTTCTCAAGAATGCAATTATTTTAAAAACTTTAGTAAAGTTCAGTGAAAAAAATTCAATTATTATTTTCATAAATAATAAAACTTATCTCAGGATTTCAGTGATTTTCAATATAATTTTAAATTAATTCCACTAAAAACGCAATTATTCTTAAAGATTTGAATAAAATTTTTCTAAAATTATTTAAAATTATTTTTAAAAATTTAGATATAATTTGTTTCTTAGAATTTAAAAATTATTTTCAATACATTTTTTAATATATTTTTGGAAAAAATTTTATTATTCTTAAAAATTTTATTAAATTCTTTTCAGAAATTCAATTTTTAATAAGATTTTTGTAAAATTCTTCGCAAAAATTCAAGTATTTTAAAAATTTTTATAAAATTCTTTTTAAGAATTCAATTATTTTTAAAAAATTTAATAACAATCGTTGCAAGAATTCAATTATTTTCATAAATAATATATAATTTTCAAAGAAATTCAATTATTTAAAATACAATTTTCATAAAATTTTTTGAAAAAAATCATTTCTTTATAAAGATTTTTATAAAATTTGTCTCAAGAACGCAATTATTTTTAAAAAATTTGATATAATTTGTTTCTTAGAGTGTAATAATTATTTTCAATTCATTTTTAATTACATTTATTGAATGCATTTAATTATTATCAAAAATTTTAATGCAATTTCTTCGTAAAAATTCAATTATTTTAAAAAATGTTGATAAAGTTTTTATTTTTAATTAATTTAATTATTTAATTATTTAATTATTTAATTTAATTATTATTTAATTTAATTTTTATTTTTAAATAATTGAATTCTCGTAGAACTTTCTAATAAGAATTGATTTAGAATTGAATAAAATAAAATGATTAAAGTTCTGAATAATTTTATTTATAAATTTCAAGAAAAAAATGATTTAATTTTGAAAGAATTACTTTTGTAATTAAAAATAAATAGGGATTTTTTAATATTTATTTAAAAAAATTATTCTATTTTTGAATGTAATTAATAAATTAAAAAAAAATTCAGTCAAGTTTAATTTTTCGATAGCTACTTTTTGCTAATTTTTAAAATTTATTATCGAGTACGAAGCCTGAGAAAATGAAAAATTGGAGCAAAATTGAAATAAAAAAATATGAATGAATATTTATTACGTTTGTTATGAATTTAACGAGAATTTTTTTTTTTTTATTAGGGTGAAGACTTGATAGAAGTCTCGTCGCAATTGATTTATCAGGGAGAAGCAATGAGAGTAACGACAGGAATGTGGACGAGTAATATCGTTTTATTTCTCTTCGATCATCAACTCGTCTATTGTAAGAAGGACCTTCTCAAAAGGAATACATACGTTTATAAAGGCCGCTTTTATCTCGACACTAGTGAAGTGATTGATGTACCGGACGGAAAAGGTAAAATTTACAAAAACATTTTCAAAAAAGTAAAATTAAACGTAAAGAATTTTTTTTATTTACATACTTAAAGTAATTTAAGTGTATAATTTAGTGAAAATTTCTATAATATAATCAAATAATTTTCAAATAAAATAATTTTAGTTTTAACATTCAATCAAATTTTATATAATATATGTAATTCTAAAATTCTAATTCTAAAAGAAGTGAGAATTTTTATGAGAAATAAAGTCGAAATAGGTAGAAATATTTATTTCATAGAGAAATATTGTTAAGTACTATATAATCTCTGAATGAAAAATGTTTGCTAAGTTTCGTTTTTAATTGCAGATCACCAATTGGGAGTTACAGTGAGGCATTGTTTGAAAATTTACAGTTGCGTAAGGGATAAATGGCTTCTATTTTGTTGTCGTACTTCAGAGGAGAAACGACAGTGGTTGACTGCAATGTCTGCTGAAAGACGACTCGTGGCTCAAGATAGAAATGACGGATTAGAATTTCCATCTGCCGCGAGACAAGTTGCCAAACTTGCGGCCAGCAGACAACGCTGCAGACCTCCAACGAAGCCTAGAAGTAAGATTGAATTTTTGTCAGAAAAATTTAGATTTTTCTTTTAACACGTCTCGCATCAACTTTATGGAGCAAAAAAAAGTCTATTTAGTCAAATTAAAGTACTGAAAAAAAATGTTTAATAATAAGAGTTTGATTATCTAAAAAAAATTAACTTACAATGCATTTAAACTTAAATTGTTCTCAATTTGATTTTACTAAATTTCGATTGTCAAAAATTTTTGTTTTCTAAAAAAAATTCTTCTCTTTTAGATAAAGCGTACAAGCGGGAATCATCGTACGATATGCCGATGCTTCAACCAGGTACCACGAATTCTCTTGGTCGAAAAGTCGGAACATGGTTTACTTTTGGTAGTAGCAAGAAAACAACACGTCCCCAACCTTCCTGAGCCAGGTCAACCTTCGTGCCATACATCGATCTTTAAATTAGTCGTCTTTTCCTTCTAGAATTGAAGAGAAAACTCGTCATTTAAACAGCACTTCACGCATTGGGTACGAAGGTAAAATAATTTCAAAAATATATTTGCAAAAACTTCTTTGCATTTTGTACATAAAAAATTCCTATTCATACGTATAAGTTTCGTTAATCAAGAAACTTTTACAATTCTCGAGAATCTCAATTTATATTTGGAAATTCGATTCAAAATTTTCATTTTGAAAATTAAATTCTGGGCTAAATTTAGCAAAAAACAAATTTAGCAAAAAATCGAATATTTCCAAAAATTGCCTATTTAAACTGATGCTTTCTTGTAAAAGAAAATGTTTCTATTCTTTTACATTAAACGCACAGCTTGTTTGATATACATTGTTATATGTAAATGTTCTGTTACAAATTCATAATGAAAGTTTTTGAGAGAGAGAGAGAGAGAGAGGAGCTTTTTCATTCATTTTTTTCGTCTCAATTTTCGAATCACGCACAAGACTCTATTTTCTTAAAAAATGTATAGCATTTAAACAAGAAAGAAAAGAAAAAATACTCAAAAAGAGAATCAGGAGCTCAAAGTTTGTTGTAGTTATCAAAAAAAGGGACCTTTGAGAAACGTAGAAAAAAAAATTTTTAAAATGTGGGAACAGAAGATAAAATGGAAGTTCTCAGGACGTCTATTTCAACGAATTGTGTCTCACTGCCTCTTCAAAAAAAAAAAGAAAAAAAAATTCTGCAAAAAAAATTTTACCACCAAGTTCCAGATTTTTTGTGTCAATAAAATAAAAAATTTGACAGTTGTTAAAAATAAATAGTAAAAATAATAAATAAAATTAATAATTAATGAAATTAATAAATAATGAAATTCGTAAATAATGAAATTCATAAATAATGAAATGCATAAAAGTAATAAAAATAACGAAATTAATAAAAATAATAAAAAATAAAAAGTGTCTCCAGTAAATAAAACATTTTGTCTTCAAAATGCACTTGAACGGATATATAATTAAAAAATATATTTAAAATAGAGAAGAAAAACTTTTTGTAGTCGTAGTTGTGATTTCCCTATCAGACAAATATGTAAAGTTGGAAAAATTTCTCGTTTCACCAGTTCCTCTATATTAAGAAAAAAATTTTCAGCATTTAGAAACATTTCTTCATGCGATATTTTAACAGGAGGCAAAAAAAATATGTAAAGAAAACAAAATGCAATGGAAATATTGAAAATATTCTTCAAATTCTAATGATTGTCCAATTTTACTGTTTGTTAAATTTTAAAAAATTCAAAAATATTCAAAAAAGGTTCCAAATTAATTTCAAGTTATCTTTTAGTTTTTTTCGCTTCTTTTTTTAGCTTTTTTCCTAATTTCGGTTAATTATTAAATTATTGATATTAAAGTCGAAGTTCCACCAACTTTATGATCAAGAGCTGAAAGAAAAAATATTTTTAACACCAAAAGCAAAATGTTTCGTTTACAAATTTTTCTTTATTAAATTATTTCTTGAAAAATATATAAAAATTTAAATAGAAAACTATTTTTTTCTCTAGATCGTTGATTCTAAACATTGCCAACATTTATTTATTTTATTTATTATTATCAATTAGGAATTATTATTGAACTATTAATTAACCGTAATTAATAAACAAATAAGAATTCAAATGAGAAATTTGAGGAAAATTTTCAATATTTCTTTTCATTATTGAGAATAAAAAGAAAAAGAAGAAGAAGACGCTTTGTTTTAAAGAGAATTTTGCTCTTGTGATGATTGAAATCAGAAAAACAATGGAGATTTCGAGAAAGCGATGAAAATGAAGCATTAATGATGTACTTACTTTTCATGTGGTACTAAGTGCCATTGATTGTTAGGGTTTAAAAAGACTGAAGGCAAAATATTTGCTTCTTAAGTGATTTGCAAAAAAAAAAAAAAAAAAATGCAAGAAATAGTGCGTATAGTGTTATCTGGAAAATTTTACCATAAATCATTCATTATAATATCATTTTATTAAAACCAGAAGAAAAAGTCCATCCTAATCAATAAAGTTATGAGAAATTAATTTCGAATCTAATTACGTCACTTTCACTCAATTTCTCAGTTTCTCAATATTTCCTCATCATCATGAAAATATTTCCAAAGTATTAGATTAATAAATTATTATTTTTTTCATGTTGATGAAAAGTAAAATTATACTTTAATAATTATAAAAGTATAATAAATAAATTGTCTATAATACAAAGTGACATAATTATAATATTCGGAAATTAATAATAATCTATTTTCGAAAGGCAAACTTCTATATTTAAGCACCTTTTTCGGGAATAGAAAAATTGCACAACAGACTTTAGAAACAGAAAATTCAATGTTAAGACAATGGATTCGAAGAAAATGATTCGAAAATGTTTTTTGTAGAAAGTCAAACGAGAGTGTTGAGGAAAATTTGATACGAACGGATTTTCTAATCTGCATTTTTGATTCAAATTTCTTTATTTCTTTTCTTAGGGTACAATTTTTCCTAATTTCTATTCACGACGCCTTCCGCTGATAAAATTTATTTCGATTTATTTCAATTAGCAAAATAATAAAATTCTATTTTAAACTCATTTCAATTGTCTGTTCAATACAATCCGATGAAAATTTCTAATGTTTCTCGAATTAAATTTAAATTCACTTCACAAAAAAAATATTAATTCGTTCATAATATTATTTCTATCTTTTAATTAATTATAAATATTATGATAGTAAAATAATAAAAAATAAAACCGTAAACAAATAGATATTAAAATAATAGCAAAAAATTGCAGTAAATAAAATTATAAACTTTAAAATTATAAAAAATTATAAATATTTTTTTCTTTCTATATATTTTAATAAAATTACTCCTTTTTTCAATTTTTGGAAAAAAGGGGAATGAAACAATTTAAAATTTACTTTTTTCCGAAACGGAAAAGTTTATAGAATTTTATTATTCTGACAAATTGAAATAAGATTTTATTTAACGAAAGGCGTCGATTAGTTCTTTTTTTTTAAATAGAATTTTATTCCTTCTTTTTGTTGAAAATTTGCTGGTTTTTAAGTTTGTATTTTTGATATAAAAATAAATAAAATCCGTTTTTTTCTGACAAATTGTGTCAAAGTATAATATTTAAAAAAAATATAATGGAAGTGTAAATAATGCGATTTTTTATCGATATACAGAAATAAAATTGATAATACGAGTGATTTGATAAATAAATGTTAAAAAACAGTTGAAAAAAGTCGATTTCTTTTTCAGAAAGAATAATTTTTTTCTTGAACAATAAAACTTATTTTGTTTCTTAATAAAACTCAATATCTATGATCACAAACGGGAATTATGTAAAATTTATAGTTTTAGAATTTCATTTTTGTTTTAAAAAAAAAGGATTTAAAATTATTTTGTAATAAAAAATTCGATTAAACGCAAAGTTAGTCTCTTCAAAAAAAAAAAAAAAAATTGTTCGGAAAAAATTGAAAGTCGTTTGGAAATTCCAAATAAAATGAAAAAACCTTTTGGTTTATTCATTTTTTGAAGCAATTTTTTTCGTCTTTTTTCAATTTTTTCAAAATTTTTCTTTTGAAGCATTTTGAAGAGACTGACTTTCTGATGAATGATCATAATCGCTTGTTTTTAATTTTCTATATCAAAGTTAATGACAAAGACAATATATTGAGACGGAATACACATATTCCTAAATATAGTGTACACAATGTAACCAGTTTTGATGGATTAGCTTAAGAAAAAAAAATGTATTTGTCGTTGAATACCTCTTGGCTTAAAGTAATTTTTTATAAACCACAATTACATTATTTTTCGAAAATTCAAATTTTCTTCCCAAAATGAGAGCGTGAAAAATTTTCTCGTTCGAAAATTGCGCTATTTATACATTTCAATTTGTTGCATCTCAATGGAGATTTTTTATATCGAATCGAGAAGTTGAAGATTGATTGTTAAGAGATAAATCGGATCGAGAGACAAAGGAAACATTTGACAATTTTCTCAATAAGTTAAATATTCTTTTTCTAATTTTCAAAATTTTTTTAATTTATTTAATTAATTAATTAATTAATTAATTAAATTTCCATTTTTCAAAATGTTAAATTGATAGATTGATCAATTGTGATTGCGATTCACAAAATTAAATTTAAAAATACATTTAAAATTAAATTTAAAAATATATTTAAAATTAAATTTAAAAATACATTTAAAAATGTATTTAAAAATACATTTAAAAATATTTCCTTTAAATCTCGATCTCGATTCAGCGTTAACGTTTTCGAAATATTTGTGAGTTCAATAAAATTGCAACGATGACTTGAGGCCAATGTAAAATACGTGATACGATGGACATATAAACAAAAATGTTAAGCAGCAGAAAAAAAATGCAACATAGTTAAACGTAAAGCACAATTTCATACTTAGAGAATAAAAAAAAAATGTAATCCTAAACTTCCATAGGTTGCCTAGGTAGCCATTAAAAAAAATAAAGTTGTGTAATCAGTTGTACTTAAAAATTAAATACGAAAAAATTTGTCGACTTAAAATATCATCCATTTTAAAGAATTAGCTTCTCATCGTCATACTGTTTTTTCTATCATCATCCTGCACTATGTAAAATATAAACCTAGAAAAATTCATTAGGAAAATTGCATTATAGAAAACAGCTTTTGGAAAAATATATTATTCCTATAGCGAAAAAAAAGCAAAAAAAAAAACTATGATAAAATTGTAATAGTAGAATTGTTGTGTATTTTTAAAGTTCTTGCGAGATTTTTCAAACAAAAAAAAGGCCCGAGAGAGACAAACTGTTACGAATTGAATATTATCAATTTTAAGTTATTTAAAAAAAAATTAGTGATTTATCTCCAGAATTTCTATAAGTTTTATTAAACATTGTAAATAAAAGTTGTAATTTACAGTTTGTAAATATCAGAAGGCGAATGGAACATTCTAAAAAGAGAAAAAAAAAACCTTCCTATGTTATATATTTGTATATTTATAATTAAAATTCATTTTACGTGTCTCGTATTCGAGCCTAATGTAACGATTTAATTCGTTCGATTTAATAGACAATTATTTTGTTTACAATATGTACAGTTCGAGTTCTAGAATTATTGAAATTGTTTTCATTAATGAAGAAATATATATCTATATATTAAGTTGAATCTGTGTAAATAAACATTTTATAATGTATAAGAAAATTGTTTCTTATCCTTTCGTTTTGAATCCTCAAATTCTAAATCTTTAATCATTTAATCCTATAATTTTCTAATGTTCTAATTTTCTAATTCAAGTAAACAAAAAAAAATTTTAAAGAATAGCGCAAAAAAACTGGAATCTAAATAGAAGATTAAATTTACAATAAGGCCTCGAAATTATCTAATTATAATTCTTTCAAAAATTGACTTGTTTAAATTTAAAAATACAAATTCTATTTTAGTTCCTTTTTTCTAAATATTTATATATAATAAAAACTGTAACATTTTATAACCTGTTATTAATTCTATTAACTTCTTAATTGAACGATTTTAATTTATTTTTAGATATCACTATTTTTGTTTGTTTGTTTGTTATAAACTGTTTTTAGTGAATCGATGATAAAGTTTCTGTATTATAAAATACATTTATTTCTAATTAACACAATACTTTTTTTAATTCATACAAACAGAGTATATACTCGAAATTTTGAACGCTTAAGTGAACGAAATTATTTTCTTCCAATGTTGTGAAAAATTCGATTAATTCGATTAATTAAATTAATAAAATTAATAAAATTAATTAAAATTACCGGAGAAAAAAATTAAGTATTGTACAAAAAATTGTAATTTTCGTATATAATTAAAGTGCAAAAAGATAATTTGCGTATAAAATGCAAAAAGGTAATTTTTCACATAATTAAAAAGCAAAAAGGTAAAATTTAAGAATATTCGCACTTTGATAAAGTTTAGAATTATTAGTTTTCTTAATAATTTTAATTGACAAGAAAAAATATTTTTTGATGTAAATTCTTTATACTTGTCTTGAAAACAAAAAACTTTTTGCAATTACTTTTAATTACTTTTTTAGACAGTGTTTGAAAAATAATTCTCATAAATCAAAAATTTCGTTTTCTGCGTGAAAAATAGTTTTATTTTTTTTTTGAATTCTTGATTATAAATTTCACCGGAAAGGGAAATTTGTTCAGTTGAACGTTCAAAAAAATGGACATACACGAAAGTTTGAAAACTTATGAATTTCATATTCGTGAAAGTAATAACAAAAACAATTTTTGTTTTAAACATTAAGTACCCGTTTTGTCATCAATTTCGGAAATTTTACTCTTGAGATAAGAATTTTCCTTCTTCAATTGTGCAATAAGTTGACGAAGATTTTGCACTTCTTGCAAAAGATGCTTATTCTCCACAACTCGCCTGTCGAGAGTTTTATTTGTTTCCTTAAGTTCTCTTATATAATCGCAAGCACGCGACAAAATTCCTCCTTTACTCTATAAACAATTTTATTAAAATTAGAAATTGAAAATTAGAAAATTCAAATAGCTTTTTGTTAAATAACTTTTCATTTACACATAATTGATATTGTCACAAAAATTTTATTATGTATTTCCCTGACTTCCAAAAAGAATATTAACTTCCTTTATTATTCTGGTAATAATTGCAATTCAAAATTTTTAAAATTCCAATTATTTTCCTAATTTTCAGTAAGATTTTCAGTAAATGTTAAATTTAAATTTAAATTCAGTAACAATTTTCAGTAAAAATATGATTTTAATAATTAAATTTTAAAAGCAAAACAATAATAATAAATAAATCTTAAAATTAAAACTATAATTTTTCCAATATTCAAAATATTCTACAATTTTTAAACAAAATTATTAAAGACATTCATTTTTTAGGAAAATAGTGAATTAATAATCAATATTTTTATATTTAGCCGAGAATATTGAAAAATTATAAATTTTTGAAAGATAATAAATTTTTCAATTATAGGTATATAATTGAATAATTTTCATAAAATAAAAATTTATAATAAAAATTTATAAGACTTCAGTGAAGTTTACAAAGTTTCGAATCAACGATTCGGTAGAAAAAAATCTCCTCTGGAAAGTTTTTTAGATATTTTCGCTTGGGAAATTTATAACCATTTTGTCTAATTTTTTTAAACAAAAAAGAAAAATCTCAAGAGAAAAATTCGCTTATTTTTCGTATCAAAAATCTTTTCTTCAAAAGTTGATTATAAACTTTGTGAACTTCACCAACGTTTAATAATAATTTATTCATTTATTTTTAATTCGTATTCACAGTTTCGTCTACTTTAATAAACGAAGCTATAAATACCAATAATTTAGAATAAATATTTAAAAATTCATCTCCTACTTGTGATTCGAAATTATTTTTACTGTCGCCAACGTCATTATTTTTGTATTTCGGCAAAAGTTTTCCCAACATTGTTATCCATGTATTTATTTTATCTCTTCGTCTTCTCTCAACTTCATTGTGAGTAGTTCTTCTTTTGTCATCTCTCTGTAAATAAATCGCCAATTATTGTATTATATTTCAATTTGAGTAAAATATAAAAATATTATTGTATTTTTGTTTACCTTTTTCGAAATTGGCTCCTCGGAGGAATTAATTCGAATTGTTTGCGTTGTATACGTATCGTCATTGTCGGTAATAACGTAAATTTTTCCATCATAAGGACTGTGCATCACTTGATAGGGATGTAAAATTGAATTCGGCACCATTACTTCAATTGGTCTGTTGGGATCACTTCCATCGATTTGCAGTAATTCCTTTTCCTCCTCCATATCAACGATTTCGCCACTTGTATAAATGCCGGTTCCATATTCCTGTAAATCCTCGTTTGTTTCATCATCATCATTACATTTTATAAATTGGGACTCATCCAAAATTACACTTACATTCTCTTCGCTATTCTCCTCGAAGCTGTAAAATTTTAATTACATCAATTAATTTATTCCTTAATTATTCATTTATTTATTAATCATTTATTCCTTACACAAAAATAAATTACTTTTATCTCTCTATTCTTAAAAATTAATTTATTTTTTACAAAGTGTAAAATTATCTTGTAGCAATTTTTGAGAGACCTTCAAATTTTTACGAAAACAAATACATATAGAGAAAATTGGTTTTTAAACGTTCAATTGAAGGAAAGTTTTAAAAAATATTTTCATAAATTAGCGATGGTAATAAAAATTAGAAACTTATAATTTCTTTGATAGCGAAGCAAAATTGTTTTGAAAATTTAATAATAAATTATAGAGAAAAACCTGAATAACCCGGAAAAAAACCTTTAGAGAGAAAAATCTTTAGTACCTTCACAGCTTTAGAATAATGAATATAGAAAATAAATTTGATAATTGAAACTCACCTTTCACTAACTATTTCCAAACTAGCGTTGGTTATATCCATTGTTAAAGAATAATTTTATTTCTATTTACTGAAAATATGAAGAAAAGCACTTTGTATGTATATTTAATATTATAATAATGGGTGTTTTCGGCGTACCCGCAGAGAAATTATCCGGATCACTCAGTGATGCTCAATTATTTGGAAATTTAATTTTGTAACACTAAATTTCTCAGTACTTTGTGGAGAATTGAGCACAACTGAGTTTAATCCATGGACACGCGAAAACACATGACAAAACCGCGACAAAACAAAAGAAAAATAAGGAGACATAACCTTAAAATTTTCCTCGTTTCACTATTTTTCCTGTAACTTTTCCTCTACTTTTATTACTTTTAATTATCGATTAATTGAAATATTAAAAAACATTTCTAAGTACCAAAAAAGGAACAAAAAGACCTCTAGATCTTTTTTTCATAGTTGGCAAGAAAGTATCTGTTTTTATAAACAATTTTATATTTTAATATAAAAAGGAGTTGTTTATATTTTATCAAATACATACGTTAATTTTAACCATGTCAACAGTTTTTAGAACTATCTTAATAATAAGTAATTAACATTTTTAACATGCTTCTTGTTTCAAGTAAGATAACCACATAAAACCACTTTTGTTGGCAGACTTTTGTTGCTTTTGTTCACTTTTGTTAAATAGTTCCCAGTTTGTCCGCTTTTCTTCGGCTCGCGCTGTCTGTGTTTTTAACATAACCTAAAATAATAGTTTGCAGATTTTCTACTCCAATTTCACACTTATTTTACGTTTTTTAATATTTAAATAGCAAAACCTAGTTAACTGATAAGTTTTAAAAAATTGAAACAATGGCTGAAGCAATGAGACAAGCGGTTGTGGAAATGTTGAAGGGAATTGAAAGGTATGTTTATGATTTACAAAATATATCAATGACACGTTCTCTGCTTCCTTTTTCTGGTTTATTTCCTTTATTCTTATTATAATTTCCTATTGTTGTATAATAATTGCTTATAAACGAGAAATTTATTTTGTTTCTTAAAATAAATTGTTGATCCGTATTTTTTCAATTTTTTGAAAAGTGAGGTTAGGATTACTGGTCTCACGCATATTTTCATTTTTAGTATATAATTCGAACAATTATTACTCATATTTTCAGTTTTAGTACGTAATTCGAAAAATTATATTTGTGTAAAAGTTGAAATGTCATTTTATTTACTAATATCCTTTTTTTATAGATATAATCCAGAAAATTTGACAACCTTGGAGAATTATGTGGAGATTCAGGCGAGAGAAAATGCCTACGATCTGGAGGCAAATTTAGCTGTTTTAAAATTGTATCAACTTAATCCTCAACGATTTAAAGTCAACATAACTTGTCAAATTCTTTTGAAAGCTCTTACGAATTTGCCGCACACAGACTTTGTTTTGTGCAAATGCCTCTTGAGTGAAAGTATCGTAAGTTTGTTTGATTTTTACTGTTTTTCTTCTTTTTTTGTTATTGGTTGTTGCTTTTTCAGGGTACGTCATAAGTTTATCAGTTCATCAATTTCCCTGACGATTTTCTATTTTATTTTAAAAAATTTACTTTTTAGATGGCGCAGGATCCAATTAATCAAATAATGTACTTGGGAGATATTTTGGAGCAGTGTGACTTTCAGCTTTTCTGGGAACGCGCTCGCACAATATCGAATTTGTACGACAGTATCGTTGGTTTTCAGGATTCAATTCGAAAATTTGTTTGCCACGTTGTGGGAATTACATTTCAAACGATAGACAAACCTCTACTTTCACAATTATTAGGCGATGTTGAAGGTAAAAATCAAAAGGATTTTAATTTAGTTCTATAATCTTTTTTCTTTTCTTATTAATTAATTCTTATTATTAAATTTCAGACACGACACTCAATCACTGGGTGCAAAAATACGGATGGAGAGAGCAAAGCAGACAAGGAAGAAACATAATTTTCATTGCCAATCAAGACGAGAATATTAAAACGAAAAATATCACGGAAAAAATTGATTTTGAAAATGTTGCCGGTTTAATGGCCGCATGCTTATAATTTACACAAAAAACAAATTTCACTTTTCTAAACAATCCAATTTTGTAACCATTTTTTTTTACTCCCAAAAATGAATAGTCATCAAATTATATGTTTGTTTCAAATTTATTTCACATTATTCAAAAACTTAAAATAAATAAGATTTTCCTAAAGAATCACAGAATACTTTAATATATTCGTACGAAAAACGTTTACATTAATGCGATATGATCATTGGCTCACAAGTCACTAATTGGAATAAATATACTGATACAGTTTACAAGTAAGATTTTCTTATTTTTTTTCCCTTAAATTTCGAATATAGTTTTAATTTCTCTAAGAGAAAGAGTTTCAAAAAGTTAGTTTTTTTTTTCTTTCGAATTACATTTTTCAATGTACACGAGACAGAAGTATTTTTTTAAAACTAAAATTAAAATAAAATGTAGATACTTAAAAATTATACAAAAGAATTGAACCACTGAACCCATTGGTAAATAAAAACGTATTATAAAAATCGAAATAAATATTTAAAAAACAAAATATAGAAGTATGTACATTAAAATTATTCAAACGTAAATAAAATATTAAAAGTTTTAACAGAAATTGTAATTAAAAATAAAATTACAAAGTGTACGAATGTGTAAAGAAAGAAAATGCGGAAAAAAAGGAGTAAAAGTATCACTGCCTCTCGAAGCATATTGATTTATAAATTGATTAATATTCGATTATTTATAAAAAAAAGTTATTGCAACAAATAAATGCACTTTTCATCACAATCACTTAAGATTTGCGTCACAATTGCCTTCTTCTTTTTTTTAACTTTGTGCTAAATATGAACGTAAAATTAATTACTATTTAGTAGCAAAATTTTGATTAATTTCCATTAATGATTTTTTTTTCTTTATATATTACAAGAGAAGAACTTGGGCTTATATTTACAGTCTTATTCTAATAATATTGTTTTATCGTTATACTTTTAGGGAAGATTAATGAAAAAATAGATGAAATACAAAAAGCATTAATTTGCAGTCTAGCTTCGTACTATTGTTTTCTTTTTCTTTTTCCTTTTTTTAATATTTATACGCGATATTTTTCCCTTAAAAAATACATTATTTCACTACCAGTAAAAATAATCAAAAATTTTATTAGCTTTTTTGATTTTAAAAGTTTAGAAAAAAGAACTTGAATAAGAGATTTGATTTTATTTTTACCGGTAGAGTTAAAAAATATTTTTCTTAATATCACAAAAAAGAATGGTAATTTATTTTTTCGTTGATAAAACAAAGTTTTGAAAAGTGTACTAAAAATTAACTAGAGAATAGAAATTTGATGTATTTCTGGTTTAAAAATTTAAACGTCATGATTTATCAAATGCGCTTCGCGTCGATAAGAATAGCGTGGTGGATTTTGACAAGGCAAAAGCCAAAGAACTGGATGACTTTTACCGCAAACTTGTGAGAGTAAAGTAAATGTTCGCGGTGATGTTTTATGATGATGATGTCCTTGAATTCGTTCTATCGCTGTCTCATCGCACAGAATGCCTTGAAATTGATCAATTAAAATAGCTACAACAAACATTCCAAAGAGCGCCGCTTCCAATACTAATATCACACAATGTAATCTGGAAAGAAAATTTTCTATTAATAAATTTTCCTCTCTCATAAAGTAAATATTTTCAGGGTTGCCATAAAAATTTAATTTTTTTTCCCCTGATTTCCAGATTAAATTTTGACTTTTTTTCTGAATATAAAGAATATTTTGATTCACTCTAAAAATATTAGATACTCAAAAAAATTTTCTCATACATTTATTTACGAAATTCTTTAATTGTAAAATTATTCGAAAAATAAAAGTTTTGGAAAATACAAAACAAATTTTTTTGTGATGGCAGTGAATAAAAATAAAGGACTTATTCGATCATTTTTGTATCTTTAAACGATAATTTTTGCGCCTTAAAGACGATTCTCTTATCGATTTAAGTGTTTGAGTAATTTATGCATTCGAGTGATACTTACATTCGACTTTGTTTTATTGTTACGTCGTTACTACAATGAGTGCAATCATTTACCCAAGAAGCAATCACAAGAGTTATGGCGTAAACAGCCAACATTCCGACATACACCAAAAATTGAATGAAATACTTTTGATTTCTTTCTCCGACACAATTGTTTATCCTGGAAAAAACGAAAAAAAGAAATGTAAATCGTGATATTCAGGAAAAAAAATTTTTTTTCTATAATAATAATAAATAAATTAAATAATATTAATACATTAATATTTCTAATTTTATGTATTTTCTTACCATGGACAATGATGATCCATTCGTCTAATGCATCTTTTACAAATTCTACAATGATGAGCACGTGGAGGCCTATAAGTTTCGCACCTAGTGCACACAGTCCAATCATCTCTCTCGTCTCCTTCCTCTAGGCCAGATCCTGCGGTATGAATATCAGAAAAATCCATTCTCGTTTGGGGCAAGGGAACAACACCCGGATCACTGCAAACTGCCTTTAGATGCGACATCATTAGCAGTAAAACGAGTGTATTGAAAATCACTACGTGGAACGGACCCCATAGACTGTAAAAAAAAATTAATTATTTTTCTCATCCTTTTCAAATTTACTTAATCGGGATAAATATTTCAGATTTATTAACATTTTTTAAAATTATTCAATTCTTTTGAGAAATTTGTTATTAAAATAGTAAATATTAAAAATCATTGAATTGCGAAAAATTTGCGAAAATAATTGAATCGTTTTAAAGAATTTTATAAAAATTTGTTGAATTTTTCCCAATAACTTTATTAAAATTTTGGAAAATAATTTTGTTATTTCAACTGTTAACAAAAAAGTAGTGTAAATTTTCAAACTCGGAAAAAAGTAGCTTTTAGTGTAACAAATGAAAAAAAGTATCCAAATAGTAACAAATCGTAAAAAAAAGTAGTAAATAGTAGGTTTTAGTAGAGGAGTGCAAGGCCTGCATTTATGAAAAAGATACAAACATATCGTTCCAGTCATTCGTTTTACGCAATAAAGAGAAAACAACAGCAATTGAATTGTTACGGTAATAAATAAAAACAGGTGACTGAGAGAAAAAAAACAAAAATTCAATTGTCATGATGTCAAAATAATTGTCATTTTACCTGTCTTGCATCGTATGCAAAATAATCCATCGTATCACGACGTAATCTGCATAAAATACTGCAATATACGTCACAATAATGCAAATAATACCACATGGATCTCTTACAAACATTGTTCATTTTTTGTTTAAAATCACATTTTCCAATTGCTGACACTATCATCCGAACTGTATGCTATTGTCACAATTGACTGCCGTTTCATTATCGCGTCAATCTTCATATCTTCCCGTGATCTTATTGAAGAATCAAATTTACAGCACATTTAATCAATTTCATAAATTTCAATACAAGAGAAATTATAATTGATATACTTGTAATTCAAGTACAATAAATAGGGCAGAGAGGACAAATTAATAGAAATTTTGTATATTTCTCTGATTCACTTCTTTTTACTATTAAAAAAACCCTAAATGCTATTTCACAATCTGTTTTGCTCAGCGCTAAATAGTCCACAATTCATCCTCAATTCTAATTGGTTGACAGAAATGAATCGGCCAATCAGAATTCAACATTTGTATTCCAACGGAAAATATATTGATAGCGCTAAAAATCGTACATAACCTTTAATTATAATAAAAAACATGTTTTGTTTACTTCGTTTACCTCTACAAAAAGTTAAAATTACAATTAGTTTTAATCTATAAGTGAAAAAGTCCTTGTGACAGTAATTAAAAGGATTAAAAGTAATTCTCGTTTAATGAATTTATTTATATAAATTATATTGATAAGTATCAAAATGAGGGATGTGATGAAGTACAGACATCTATTTTACATGATAAATAGATCTATTCACTATTTACCAAAAGCAAACGGATATCCTAATGGTACGAATTTAATTAAAATTGATAAAAATTGTCTCCTAGAAAATAATAATAATAATATCTTAGCAAAATCTAGCAATATTTTTCAATGTCACAGTAAAAATTTATCAGTCAGTAATGTCTATTATTTAAAAAAGGGTAAAAAAATAACGAAAGAACAAATTTCTAAAATGAAACTCGATTTACGGGAAGTCGATCAATATTTGGATACGGAATTAATAATAAAGGAAATGAAAAATGCGATAGAGCATATGAAAGAAAATTTTGTGAAAAATTTAACCATACGCACAAATATTGGATCTATTGAATTATTAATTGTCGAATTTGAGGGTAAAAAATATCAACTTCAAGAATTGGTGCAAATTGCCAGAAAAGCAAATTTTGTCATTCTTAATGTAACCGAATTCCCTCAAGCAATGCCGCAGATTCTTACATGTATCAGAGCTAGTGGAATGAATTTAAATCCTCAGCAAGATGGTACTAAAATTTCAATACCAATTCCAAAGTAAGTCTTTGATTGGAGATTCGAAAATAATTCAGGGTTGCCACAGGTCAGGGAATTTAGGGAAAAGTCAGGGAAAGTAGAATTGGTCAGGGAAATCAGGAAAAAGTCAGGGATTTTTATTGAAATTACTTTATTATTATTTTCATAAACAATAAAACTCATCGCAGAATTTAAATTATTTTTAATACAATTTTAATCGAATTCTCGAAAAATATAATTAAACTCAAAATTTTAATTAAGATTGGTGGAAAGAATCCAATTATTTAAAAAAAATTGAATAAAATTCTACGCAAACATATAATTTTTTTCATAAACGACTAAAATTTCTCAGCAATTCAATTATTTCTAAATTTTTTTATTATTTTCGTCGCAATAATTCAATTATTTTCGTTAATAATTAATATTTTACAGGGTTTCAATTATTTTCGTAAATAATAAAATTGTTTTTAGGTATTAAATTATTTTCAATTATTTTCAATTATTTTTATAACTCATGGAAAAATTTAAATTATTTTTAATTAAATTTTAATCAAATTTTTCGAAAAATCTAATTATTTAAAAATTTTTTTTTAAATTAGTCAAAGAATTCAATTATTTAAAAATTTGTTGATAAAATTCCCTATGAGAATTCTATTGTTAGAAACATTGAAATATTTATTTTTTGTATTTAAATAATTGAATTCTCGTAGAATTTTGTAATAAAAATTTATTCAAAAATTAATTTCATTAACAATTTTAGATAATTTAATATTCAAAGCATTATAGCTTGAATTTTCAGAAATAATTGAATTTTGAAAAGGTTTCAAATTAAAATCTTTGAAAATCAGAATTTTTCTCACTTTTAACAAACAATTGTGTAGAATTAATTTTTTTGAAAAATTTTAATTGAATTTTTCTTTAAATTATTTGAAGTTTTTATTTTTTAATGATATAAAATAATGATTTTATCACTCAGTCATCTTTAATTATTATAAAACATGAAGAAATCATCTCAAAAAGAAGTTATTGATGTTTTGGAATAATTGTACAGTGAAAGAAATTCATAAATAAATGTAATAGAAAATTTTTTTGAGTATCTAATCATTTTTAGAGTAAATCAAAATATTCTTTAGTTTCAGGGAAAAAGTCAAAATTTTATCTGGGAATTAGGGAAAAGTCAGAGAAGAACAAAATTAATTTTTTTTTTGGGCAACCCTGTAATTGAATTTTGAAATTTTTTTTTTGACACAGAGAGAGAGAAAGACTAATAAAAAAAAACTTTCGTTCCTAGAGTCACCAAGGAGCATAGAGAGGAATTATCGAAAGGTGCAAAGGCAATGTTTGTCAAATGTCGAAATAATGTTAAAGCAGTTGGTAACAAACATCTTCAATCGATAGCAGATGATAAGCATGTCAGCAAAGAAATGTTTGCGAGAATAAAACACAATTTGGAAATGCTGGCTGAAAAACATGTGCAGGAAGCAGAAAACATACTCAATGTTAAGAATACCGAATTATTAGGTTCTTGAATCAAGAAACTATTGTTTGAAATTTAAGTTTTACGTTTATCAAAAATTAATTCTACAAAGAGTTCAATAATAAACCAAAGTATTATTACTATTAGAAGTATTTTTATTACTTTAATACAGGATTACCATATTAAGATCCGAATTCCTAATTTATCATCGTCTAATAGTGTTATAAATATAATATTTTCTCAAAAAATTTCATTAATATTTACAATATAGTATTTTAAGCCCAGACATAAGGATTTTACGGCATCTTTTAAAATTTCACTCGAATGAAATGCAAAGCTTATTCTAAAAAAGTTTTTATATTTTTGGGTGCAAGAGAAACGAATTCCGGGAATCGCGCTTACATTATGAACTTCTTTGCACCAGTCAATGAAAATTGACGCATCCATATCTGTAAAAAATAAACATAACATTCGCTAATTAAAGAAATTGGTTAGTTTTCTTTGTTTTAAAAGTGTTTGAAGAAATATTTTTTTTACTTGTACCTTGAGGAAGTTCAATCCAAATAAAGTAGCCACCTTTAGGCTTTGTATAGGAGCAACTTTGAGGAAGAAATTCATCCAATGTTTTGCAGACTTTCAATAATCTTTTCTACAAGAAAAAAACTTGTAAAGAATATAAACTAACTGAAAAAAACTAAAAGAAAATTAAAAATAGCTTTAAAATAAATACAGGGCTCAAATTAGGTCCGTAAATCCCGTAAAAGTCAGTTTTTTTAAAAAAAAAAAAGGTCCGTAAAGTCCGTAATTTGATCAAAAAAGGACGAAACGTTCGTAAATTTCACGATATAATTTGGAGAATTTTAGAGAAATTACAAATGATTGCAAAAATTCAATTATTTTCAAAAGTAATAAAATTCTTCGCAGAAATTCAATTATGTTCAAAAATTAAAAAAAATTCTCGACAAAATTTTAATTATCTTTAGAAATAATTAAATTCTTCTACGAAATTCAATTATTTTCGCAAAATTTTAATAAAATTCTTGGCAAAATTGAATTATTTTTAAAAATTTTCCTTAATTCAATGATTTTCAATATCTACTATTTTAATAAAATTTTACACAAACCTTTAATTATTGTCATAAAATAATAAAAATTTCACAAAAATTCAATTATTTGCAAATTTTTTTAATAAATTTCTTCGCAATGATTCAATTATTTTCATAAATAATAAAATGTTTCTCCAAGAATTTAATTATTTTTATAAAAAACCAAATTCTTCGCAGGAATTCAATTATTTTCAAAAATAATAAAATTCTTGGCAGTAATTCAATTATATTCAAAAACTTTAAATTATTAACGAAAATTAAATTATCATTGTAAAAATAAAATTCATCGCAGAAATTCTTCGTAAAAATTTAATTATTTCTAGAAATTTTATCAAAATTTTTCGCAAAAATTCAATTCTCTTTATAAAAAACAAAATTCTTTGCAGAAATTTAATTATTTTTAAAAATTTTTAATAAAATTCTTCGCAGGAATTCAATCATTTTCATAAATAATAAAATTTTTGTCCGAAATTCAATTATTATTTTCAAAATATTTAAACAAATTATTGAAGAAAATGAAATTATCTTTGTAAAAATAAAATTCATCGTAAAAATTGAATTATTTTCAAAAATGTTAATAAAATTCTTTTTTGGAATTCAATTATTTTCGTGAATAATAAAATTCATAGCAGAATTTCAATTATTTTTAATACAATTTTAATCGAATTCCTCGAATAGTTTAATTATTCTTAAATATTTTATGAAAAATTCGTCGAAAGAATTCAATTATTTAAAAATTTATTAATAAAATTCTTTATGAGAATTTAATTTTAAGAAAAAGTATTCAAATAATTTTTTTTTTGTATTTAAATAATTGAATTCTATTAGAATTTTCTATTAAAAATTTATTTAAAAATGAATTTCAGTTAAAATTTTAGATAAGAATTGAATATTGAAAGCAAAATAGCTTGAATTTTTAGAAAGAATTGAATTTTGAAATTAATTTTTTTGAAAAAGTCTAATTGAATTTTTTTTATTAAAGTTTTTATTTTCTAACATATATAAAATTGGAGAATTTATAAATAATCGAAATTTCGTAAAATTGAATTGTAAACAAATGGATTTGAAAATTGTCAATGATCTTTTTAAAAAATTATTAAAAATAATGCATTTATAGAAGAATTTTAGTTAAAAACACGAAAAAAAATTCAATTTTGAAAGAGTTACAAATTATTTCCGAAATTCAATTATTTTTCAAATGTAATAAAATTCTTCGCAGAAATTCAATTATGTTCAAAAAATTTTTAATTTTTCTTAGGGATTCAATTATTTGAACAAATAATAATACTCATCACAGAATTTCAATTATTTTTAATACAATTTTAATTGAATTTCTCGAAAAATGTTAATCTTAATGTTAAATGTAAATGTTAATGTTTTAATCTTAAAAATTTTATTAAAATTCGTTGAAAGAATTGAATTATTTATAAATTTGTTGATAACATTCTGTATAGAAATTGAATTTTAAGAAAAATTCAATTATTCAATTAACTATTTATTTTTGTATTTAAATATGTAATTGAATTCTAGTAGATTTTTCAAATAAAAATTGTTTAAATAGTGAATTTTAATTAAAAATTTAGATAATAATTAAAAGAAAAATAGCGTGAATTTTTAGAAAGAATTGAATTTTGAGATTAATTTGTTTTGAAAAAGTTTAATTGCATTTTTTAAGTTCTTATTTTCTAATACATATTTAATTCAAGAATTTACGAATAATTTCACTCGGACTGGTTAAATTTTTTTTTGTCAGTAATGGGTTCGTTGTTTTTCATTTTTGATCCGAAAATTCCGTATTTTTAAATACTTTCACTGGTTCGAGTCCTGTAAATAAAGTGAACAATAAATAAACGAATATTACCTTGTAAGTTTCGATTAGTACATCTAGAAATTCATCTTCAAGCTTTAAATGCAATAAACTTGCTATTGTACCAGAAATAAAATGGTTGACTGCACCACTTCCATTTAAAATTCCCCTGCATAAATTAATAAGTTAGGAATGATTTCAAATAATTTTTTCTTAGCTATGTACGAATGCAACAGAATAAGAAAAATTTTCAAATATTTACGAATTCTTCAAATTTTCGGTAATTTTCGGACTACATTCCATCCAGCCTACACGAACAGAGGGAAACAAAATTTTCGAAAACGATCCATTCGATATGACATTTCCACCCTTGTAACCCTCATCCTCTGGATCGTCATAGAAAAATAATCTGTGAGGTGGAAATTCTTCCTCATAATGAAGAAGATTATAAACATCGTCGCAGACAATTAGAAACGAATGCTTCCTAGCAATTTGCACTAAACGTTGACAAAACTCTGAAAAGATATAATATCCAATTTGCCAGGTTTCTAAATGTTCACAGAACTTTAATCAGAATTAAAAAATTTAATTAAAAATTAACCATACCAGGTTTTAAAGTATTTCCTGTTGGGTTATGAAATGTTGGTATAGCGTAAAACATTGCCCAAAATATCTTTTCCTTATTAATGGTGAAGCGTCGCTTCTTTTCCTTTAGAAGTAATTGTTCGAAAGCATCGATATCAATGCAATCACTTTTGAATGGAACTATTAAAAGGAATACATTTTTATAAAAACACTGTAACTTGGTGGAAAATTCTGCTAATAACAGTAACAAGGGTGATTTAGTAATTTAGAGTGTTATCAATTAAGTATACCGGTAATTAATACCACTGTCGCAATTTGCTAACATTTTCGGTAAATCGGTGAATTCGACAGTGGACAGTAATTTTTTGAGTTTCGAAAGTTAGTATTTACGAATTTCAAATTAATTTCGTGGTCTCAATTAGATATACCATAGTGGTAGATGATTCCAGGCATTGAACAGTATCTAGAAATTAATTGATTTGCTTTCGAAATTATACCTATATTGATACCTAATTTGACGGTTGCAATTGGGGAACAATTTTAGTAATCAGGCGAATTAGACGATGGTCAGCAACTAATGTCGTCGCTTCTGAATTTGGTAATTACGAATTGCAATTAAGTATCTTAGTAATTAATTGTACCATCGAGATTAGATGTCTATTTAGGTTATTCGGTGTATTAGACTGCACGCAATAATTTATTTAATTGCTTCCGTATTAATTACGAATTACAATTAGGTATACTGGTAATTAATTAATTACGAACTGTAATATTAAGCATGTCGGTAATGAATTATACTGGCGTAATTAGATAACAATTTCGGTAATTAGATGAATATGATAGTGTTTCTTAATTATTGCAATTTCTCCCGAATTTGGAAATTACGAATTCCAATTGACTATATCGATACCTTATTTTGAAGGTTGCAAATGGAATTGCAAACGAATTGCATTTAAGTACACTGATGGTGATTAATTCCATCAACGTTAATAGATAGTAGTTATACTGTTAATCGGTATAGTTGGATACGAAATTGGTAATTACGAATTGCAATTTGGTATACCAGATTAATTCCACCATCGCAAATAGTTCTCTGTTATTGTAATTCAATGGATTAAGTAGTTGTCAGTAATTAATTTATTTGCCTTCGATTTGGTTAATTACGAAATGTAATGAAGCATACCGGTAATTCAATGCATCCACGTTATTAGATATAACGATTCCGATAATTGGTTTAAAGTAAAGTGTATAGTAATTTTTGTTGTTGAATCTGAATTAGATAATTACGAATTTCAATTAACTTCATTGGTAATTATTTCTATCTTTGGAATTAGATAGCAGATATTAAATTTTCCTAAAGTTATTGTCAGTATTCAGTCACTGTAGTTGGATACCAAATTCCCAATTACAAATTGCAATTATGTACAACGTTTGTAACTTCAAATCTCGCAATCAGGTATAACAGTTTCATATTTTGGTGAATTAGATAGTGCTCAGTAATTGATGTCCTAATTTCCGAATGTTGTAATTACGAATTGTAATTAACTATACAGCTAATTCATTCAACAATTGGAATTAGATAACAGTTACTATGAATTCCAATTAACTATACTGGTAATTACTTCTTCCGTCATTGATTGCACCATCGTAATTAGATATCAGTTAATGTAATTCAGTAGATTGCGTAGTTGTCAGTAATTTACTTATTTGCCTCCGAACTTGATAATTACGAATTGTAATAATGTACGCAGATAATTAATTGCAACGTCGTAATTGTAATTCCGAATTGAAATGAAGTATAACGGTAATTAATTCCACCGCATCATAATTAAATAACGGTATCCGGAATTGGTAATTTTGATGCAATTATTTATACCGATAGTTAATTCGGATGTCACATTTCGATTTCAATTTCGTAATTTTATGAATTAGACTGTGCTAAGCAATTAATATCATTGCGTCCGAATTCGCTAATTACGAATTGTAAGTATGTCGGTATTTAATTCTACCGTCACAATTAGATAACAGTTAATGTATTTCGGAGAATTGGGTGGTGGTAAGTAATTAATTTCTTCGCTTCCGAATTTGTTAATTACAAACTGCAATTCAGCATGTCGATAACGAATTGCACCGACGTAATTAGATAACTATTTCGGTAATTGGCTAAATAGGATAGTGCTTCTTACTAATTGTAGTTGCTCCCGAATTAGGTAATTCCGAATTCGAGTTAACTTTAGTAGTAATTAATTCAACCGTCGGAATTAGATAACATAATATAATTTCGTAAAGTAGACAGTGTTCAGTCATTAATCTAATTGGATCCGAAATTAGTAAATATAAAATTATGAATTACAATGATGTGTACTAGTTGTTAATTCAAATGTCGCGATTTGGTAACACTTTCAAATCTTTGGGTATTAGTAATTACAATTAATTTCGTCGCTTCTCCAATGTGCTAATTACAAATTGCAATTATGTATTCTGCTAATTAAACCCATCAAGACAAATAGACAACATTTACTATAATTTGGTGGATTAGGTAGTGGTCAGTAATTAATTTATTTGCTTCCGAATTTGTTAACAATGAACTTTAACTAACGTGAATGCTGCTACGTCATTATTAGATAAAAATTTCGATAATAGGATTATTATAAAAATTCGGGAGCAACTGCAATCATCAAGAAGGACTTTTTTAATGATTGCAGTTGCTCCCGAATTTGATAATTACGAATTCCAATTAACTCTAGAGGTAATTAACTCAACCGTCGGAATTAGATAACATAATATAATTTTGGCAGTACTCAGTAATTACCGGTAATTATTCTCCTATCGCAATTAGATAACGTTATCTGCAATATTTGCGTTATTAGTCAGTGCTCATCACTTATTTTTCTTGTTTCCGCTTTTGGCAATTGCGAATTCCAATAAAATAATTCGGTAATTAATTCTACCCGAAAAATTAGTTAATAAATTTTAATAATAATAACTGATTTTAGAATACACTTACCTGGAATTATTTTCATAAGTGGAAAATGTTTAAATATATCTAATGCAAGCATGTACGTCAATTCCTCAACGAAAATAACACCGTCTGGAGATATAATACTGTTAATAATTAATTGTAATCCAGATGTTGCACCGCAGGTTAAAATTAAATTCTCCCTTTTAACCGTATCTCCATATCTTCTCGATAGGAATTGCGATAATTCATTCCGATATTCCCATAAACCTGGATTGATACCATATTGAAAGAGATAATATTTATTTTCCCGAATTTCTTCTTTCTGAAAATTGAATGGAATTGAATGTAAATTGAATACTACTTTACTCTCGTAACGGTAAATAATTTTTTTTTTATTTCAGATTGTAAATATATTCTACCAATCGGTGTTTCATTGCTGTTAGCATCATATCCCCACAATGACGCAATAAATCAGGACCAGGAATGCCAACTGACAAATTGATATTTTTCGAATTATAAACATCCATCAGTGGTTCCCCATCGTATTGGTATCGAAGGTAAGGATCATTCATTTTAATTTACTGATTCTTTCTCTCGATACAACTTTTTCAGTATAATGTGTCTAAAATTAATTTTATTTAGTCGTTTGCTTTTTTATGTCTATTCACACAGTACTGAATTTGCAGCAATTGACAATATTTCTTCACCGTTTTCAATACTGAAGAAATGTCAATATTCCTGCAAGTTTCGGTGCTGGATATAAATATATTATTATTAGTTAAAAAATTTTTATTTTTGACAAAATTTTTGAAAAAATCGACGCTAAGTGTCGAAAAAGATATTTTTTCTTAGAACCGAGAAAAAGAAAATTTTTTCAATTTAAGACAAAATTAATTAAAATTTATTTTGTTATATTAATTATATTTTATATAATACTTACATCAAAAAGGTGAATAATATGGAGAGACGTTCGTCTAACTAGCGTTTTGCAAAATTTATTAATTGATGATCTAATGAATCTTAATAGAAGAAACACCAAATTGTTTCTGTAGAGATTATTGCACACCTGCATCATCATTGATTTATAGAGAATAATTTTTTATTTTACTATCTGAAGGTAATTTGCTTAGGCTAAATAAAATCAGTGTCATTCCTTTTACTCAAATTGCTATCAAATTTAAAACAATCTTGTTTCTTATCTATAAATTTCCATTGGGATTTCAATTTTACAAATATAAAAGTAGTTTCCACGAGAGTATTAAAAATACATTTTCTGCTTCAATTAGGTCAAGTGAAGTTTACATACAAATATAGTAGCTTTTTTTCTAATTTATTGAATTGAGTGGAAGATTTACTCTGGAATTTTGCTGCTCAGGGTTTTTCGGTTCACAAAATATATTGTAATTTTTATTTACAAAGTTGAAGACTTGACTCTAGGTAATTAGGACTTAAAGTAAAAAAAATTTCCTACAATAAAAAAATGTGGCGATAATAAATACTTTAAAACGAGTTTTTTTAAAAAATTTTATTTTTCCGCGATGTCACTTTTCCTTAATATTGAAATACTTGTTTTCTCTTTATCAGCAGACGTAGTAAAGTTTAATGATTTCCTTAACAATAATACAAATAGTATTAGAAACAATTTGTCGACCCTACATTCCAAGGCGGAAAATTTATATAATATTTTACTAAAATATTTTTTTCTAATTAATTCTCTCCTTCTCTCTAATTATATATATTTTGTTAATAATTATTTACAATTTACTTATTATTGTAACTTATTATTCATTTTACAACTGATAAACTACTTTTTTTCTTCGTTTTAAATTTTAGGCGTTGATTTACTTCGTTTATGAGCGAATTTTCATGCCATCTAGGCGGCAATTTAAAGAACTATTTGGCGCGAAATTCAAAACAAGATTAGGTTCTTGAATCAAGAAACTATTGTTTGAAATTTAAATTTTATGTTTTTCAAAAATTAATTCTACAAAGAGTTCAAAAATAAACCAAAGTATCATTACTATTAGAAGTATTTTTATTACTTTATGCTTTTATATACAGGATTACCATATTAAGATCCAAATTCCTAATTTATCATCGTCTAATAGTGTTATAAATAATATTTTCTCAAAAAATTTCATTAATATTTACAATATAGTATGTTAAGCCCAGACATATGGATTTTACGGCATCTTTTAAAATTTCAGTCGAATGAAATGCAAAGCATATTCTAAAAAAGTTTTTATGTTTTCTGGTGCAAGAGAAACGAATTCCGGGAATCCCGCTTACATTATGAACTTTTTTGCACCAGTCATTGAAAATTGACGCATCTATATCTGTAAAAAATAAAAACATACGATTTATTTAATTGAAAAACCTGTTAGTTTTCATAACTTGAAAAGTTTTAGAAGAAATATTTGTTTTATTTGTACCTTGAGGAAGTTCAATCCAAATAAAGTAGCCACCTTTAGGCTTTGTATAGGAGCAACTTTGAGGAAGAAATTCATCCAATATTGTGCAGACTTTCAATAACCTTTCCTACAAGAAAAAAAACTTGTAAAGAATTGAAACTAACTAAAAGAAAACTAAAAGAAAATTAAAAATGGCTTTAAGGTCATGTTATGTTCAAAAATTCAAAAAAATTCTCGTTAAAATTTCAATTATCTTTAGAAATAATTAAATTATTCTCCAAAATTAAATTATTTTCGCAAAATTTTAATAAAGTTCTTGGCAAAATTCAATTATTGAAAAAAATTTTTCCAAAATAATTCAATGAAGTATTTAAAAAAAATTTAATAAAATTCTGCACGAACATTTAATTATTGTCATAAAATAATAAAAATTTCACTTAAATTAAATTACTTACAAATTTTTTATAAAATTCTGCGCAAGAATTCAATTATTTTCATTAATAATAAAATTTTTCTCAGAAATTCAATTATTTTCAAAAATAAAATTCTTTGCAGAAATTCAATAATTTTTAACAAAATTTTCCCCAAGAATTAAATTATTTTTATAAAAAACAAATTCTTGGAAGGAATTTAATTATTTTAGAAAATAATAAAATTCTTATTTGAAATTCAATTATTTTCAAAAACTTGAATGCTAATAATTGCTAAATATGAAATTAACTTTGTAAAAATAAAATTCATCGCAGAAATTTAATTCATCGCAGAAATTTAATTCTTTGCAAAAATTTAATTCTTTGCAAAAATTCAATTATTTTTAAAAATTATTCACAGGAATTCAATTTTTTCGATAAATAATAAAATTCTTGGCAGTAATTCAATTTTAAATTATTGCAGAAATTCAATTATTTTCAAATGTAATAAAATTCTTCTCAGAAATTCAATTATGTTCAAAAATTTTTTAATTCTTAGGGATTCAATTATTTTCACAAAAAATAAAACTTATCACTAAATTTCAATTATTTTTAATACAATTTTAATCAAAGTTCTCGAAAAATGTAATTATTTTTAAAGATTTTATTAAAATTCGTCGAAAGAATTGAATGATTTATAAATTTGTTGATAACATTATTTTATTAAAATTTTCTAAAAGAATTCAATTATTTAATAAAATTTGATAAAATTCTACGCAAACTTTTTAACTATTTTCATAAAATAATAAAAATTTCACAGGAATTCAATTATTTACATAGTTTTTTTATAAATTCTTCGCAATAATTCAAGTATTGATATAAATACTACAATTTTTACAGGGTTTCAATTATTTTAGCAAATAATATTCTTTTTAGAAATTCAATTATTTTCATAAATAATAAAACTCATCGAAGTAATTCAATTATTTAAAAATTTGTTGATAAAATTCTTTATGGGAATTGAATTTTAAGAAACATTCAATTGACTATTTATTTTTGTATTTAAATAATTGAATTCTAGTAGAACTTTTTAATAAAAATTGTTTTAATAATGAATTTCAGTTAAGATTTTAAATAATAATTAAATTTTGAAATTAATTTTTTTAAAAAAGTTTAAAGAAATTTTTTTTATATTATTTTAAGTTTTTATTTTCTAATATATATTTAATTGAAGAATTTACGAATAATTGAAATTTTATCAGTAATTGGTCTGTGAATGGTCCGTAATTTTTTATTTTTGGTCCGTAAATTCCTTACTTTTAAATACTTTTACTGGTTCGAACCCTTTAAATACAGTGAACAATAAAGAAACGAATATTACCTTGTAAGTTTCGATTAGTACATCTAGAAACTCATCTTCAAGCTTTAAATGCAATAAACTTGCTATTGTTCCAGAAATAAAATGGTTGACCGCACCACTTCCGTTTAGGATTCCCCTGTTTAAATTAATAAGTTAGAAATTATTTTAAATAATTTTTTCTTACCTATGTACGAATGCAACAGAATAAGAAAAATTTTCAAATATTTACGAATTCTTCAAATTTTCGGTAATTTTCGGACTACATTCCATCCAGCCTACACGAACAGAGGGAAACAAAATTTTCGAAAACGATCCATTCGATATGACATTTCCACCCTTGTAACCCTCATCCTCTGGATCGTCATAGAAAAATAATCTGTGAGGTGGAAATTCTTCCTCATAGTGAAGAAGATTATAAACATCGTCGCAGACAATTAGAAACGAATGCTTCCGAGCAATTTGCACTAAACGTTGACAAAACTCTGAAAAGATATAATATCCAATTTGCCAGGTTTCTAAATGTTCACAGAACTTTAATCAGAATTAAAAAATTTAATTAAAAATTAACCATACCAGGTTTTAAAGTATTTCCTGTTGGGTTATGAAATGTTGGTATAGCGTAAAACATTGCCCAAAATATCTTTTCCTTATTAATGGTGAAGCGTCGCTTCTTTTCCTTTAGAAGTAATTGTTCGAAAGCATCGAGATCAATGCAATCACGTTTGAATGGAACTATTAAAAGAAATACATTTTTATAAAAACACTGTAACTTGGTGAAAAATTCTGCTAACATCAGTTACCTAATGTCTACCTAATATTCATCTAATGACCTCTTAATGTCGACCTAAAATCTACCTAATTGCTGGTTAGACCAGTTGGCCACTCAACTGGTTAGAAATTTGGTAAATTGAATTTGCAAGTACTTAATCAGTTCGTAATTAATCCGTTTGCTTACGAGCTTGGTAATTATGAATTGCAATTAAGTATACCGGTATTTAATACCATTGTCGCAATTTGCAAACAAATCGGAGAATTCGACAGTGGACAGTAATTCTTTATGAGTTTCCAAATTTAGTATTTACGAATGTCAATTAATTTCGTGGTCTCAATTAGACATATCATAGTGGTGGATGATTCCAGGCACTGAACAGTATCCAGTAATTAATTTATTTGCTTTCGAATTTGCTAATTATGGATTGCATTAAAGTATACCGTTAACTAATTCCAAATTCTTAATTTGATAACAATTTCGGTAATTCCTCAAATTAGGTAATGGTCAGTAATTAATCTATCTTCCTCCGAATTTGGAAATTACGAATTCCAATTAACCATATATCGATACCTAATTTGATGATTGCAATTGGGGAACAATTTTAGTAATTAGTCGAATTAGACGATGGTCAGCAACTAATGTCGTTGCTTCTGAATTTGGTAATTACGAATTGCATTTAAAGATAGTAGTTATTATTAATCGGTAAAGTTAGGTACGAAATTGGTTATTATTAGATAACGTTATCTGCAATATTTATGCGTTATTAGTCAATGCTCATTTCTTATTTTTCTTATCTCCGATTTTGGCCATTGCGAATTCCAATAAAATAATTCGGTAATTAATTCTACCCGAAAAATTAGTTAATAAATTTTAATAATAATAACCGATTTTAGAATACACTTACCTGGAATTATTTTCATAAGTGGAAAATGTTTAAACATATCTAATGCATGCATGTACGTCAATTCCTCAACGAAAATAACACCGTCTGGAGATATAATACTGTTAATAATTAATAGTAATCCAGATGCTGCACCGCAGGTTAAAATTAAATTCTCCCTTTTAACCGTATCTCCATATCTTCTCGATAGGAATTGCGATAATTCATTCCGATATTCCCATAAACCTGGATTGATACCATATTGAAATAGATAATATTTATTTTCCCGACTTTCTTCTTTCTGAAAATTGAATTGAATACAATTGAATGTAAATTGAATACTATTTTAGTAAATACTTTTGTAATGGTAAAAAATTTCTTTTATTTCAGATTTTAAATATATTCTACCAATCGGTGTTTCATTGCTGTTAGCATCATATCCCCACAATGACGCAATAAATCAGGACCAGGAATGCCAACTGACAAATTGATATTTTTCGAATTATAAACATCCAGCAGTGGTTCCCCGTCGTATTGATATCGAAGGTAAGGATCATTCATTTTAATTCGCTGATTCTTTCTCTCGGTACAACTTTTTCAATATAATAAGTCTAAAATTAATTTTATTTAGTCGTTTGCTTTTTTATGTCTATTCACACAGTACCGAAGTTGCAGCAATTGACAATATTTCTTCACCGTTTTCAATATTGAAGAAATATCAATATTCCTGCAAGTTTCGGTGCTGGATATAAATATATTATTATTAGTTAAAAATTTTAATTTTTGACAAAATTTTTGAAAAAATCTGATAAGTTAGCGTCGACGCTAAGTGACGAAAAAGATATTTTTTCTTAGAACAGAAGAGATTATTGCACACCTGCATCATCATTGATTTATGGAGAAAAATTTTTCATTTTACTATCTGAAGGTAATTTCTAATTTGCTTAGGCTAAATAAAATCAGGATCATTCCTTTAACTCAAATTGCTATCAAATTTAAAACAGTCTTGTTTCTTATCTATAAATTTCCATTGGGATTTCAATTTTACAAATATAAAAATAGTTCCAACGAGAGTATTAAAATAGAATTTCTGCTTCAATTAGGTCAAGTGAAGTTTACATACAAATATAGTAGCAATTTTTTTTTTAATTTATTGAATTTAGTCGATTTTGGAATTTTGCTGCTCAGGGCTTTTTAGGATCAAAAAATATGATATTGTAATTTGTACTTACAAACTTGAAGACTTGACTCTAGCTAATTAGGACTTAAAGTAAAAAAAAATTCCTACAATTAAAAAAAATGTGGTGATAATAAATACTTTAAAACGAGTTTTTTTAGAAAATTTCGTTTTTCCGCGATGTCATTTTTCATTAATATTAAAATACTTGTTTTCTCTTATCAGCAGACATACTAATGTTTAATGATTTCCTTAAAAATAGTACAAAGTATTAGAAATAATTTGTCGACCCTACATTCCCAGTCGTAAAATTTATATAATATTTTACTAAAATATTTTTTTCTAATAATTCTCTCCTTCTCTCGAATTATATATATTTTGTTAATAATTATTTACAATTTATTTATTATTGTAACTTAATATTCATTTTACAACTGATAAACTATTTTTTTCTTCGTTTTAAATCGTTAATTTACTTTGTTTATGAGAGAATTTTCATGCCATCTAGGCGGGAATTTAAAGAACTATTTGGCGCGAAATTCAAAACAAGAAAAATTTAATTTATTTAATATTTACTAGAATTTAAGTAGAAAGTTTTTGTTTAATAATAACAAATATACTTACCAGTTCCTGTGGTTTTTTTTAAATTTAAATTCTAAAAACGGGAAATAAAATAACACAAAAAAGACGAATTTATGAAGAATGTATGTTTTATTATATAATATTTTTTAACGGTATTTATATAATAAAAATCTATAACTTCTATTCCACAACCAACGTTCGAATGTGCGCTTCTCTTTTTCTACGATCGATTTCATATATCAACAAAATAATTTACAAATCTTTTTTTTTTTATTTCGGTCAGTAGAAAATATATATATGAAGGGGGTTGTAAAATTACTCGCGTAAAAATATTATTTAAAGGAATTTTTTTTTATCTTAGTCATTCATATTTTCTTCTTCTGATTTTGTGCTGATTCAGCATATATATTGATTAATATATACGTTTATGTATAATATATTACAAAATAGAAAATACAATTAGTAACACTTAATACAATTTACAATTCAGTTTTTTTATATCTTACTAAAGGAAAGATAAGGCATTTTATGAACAGAAGATTATCAAACAAATTTTTTTCTTTCGATTTCCGTGTAAAAATAACATTTCATAGCTGATGATGATGATTTTCTGCTCATATTTTTAATTAAAAGTAACATTTTTAAAAATAGAAAACGAAAATTTTGAATTTAAAATTTTCAAGTTTGTAATAATTTAAAAAATTCGTCAATGTGATCTAAAAATTTATTTTTTTCGTAGAGAATTCAAATTCTTTGACTCAAAATTCCTTTTTTTCTATAAAGTATTCTTTTTCTGTCTGTACAAAAATGGCACGTACTATTCTACTTTCATAGACACAGTAAATATGTGAATATAAATTTATGCCACTTAATAACTAGAACACTGTAAGAAACACTATTCGCTTTAATTCAAATAATTTCTCATAAAAATTGCGCAATTTTGAATTTATTTTGATTTACTATTATTATTATTATTATTATTATTATTATTATTAATTATTAAAAAAACTTTTTTTTTAATTTCTTGACTCTAAATTTAAGTGAAATAACAGAAATTCAATCTCTAAAAAGTTTACAATTTTTTTCTTAGTATGTCACTTTTTTTTACAAATATTTTTTGATTCTTTTTTTCTATAAAAATCGATTTCTAATGAAATCAGTTTTCTAAAAATAGTTTATGATTTTTATATTATTTTATTTTTTTAAAATGATTTTTAAAGGAATTTTTTCGAACAAGTTTTTATTTCTAAAATATATTTTACAATTTTTTACAAGTTTTACTCTCTTAAATTGAATTAGTAAAAATTTTTACTAATTTGAATTAGTGACTGACTTTTTGTTTTTGAATCATTCTTACTAATTTAATAGTAAAATTTACTAATTTAACAAAATTATTAATAAATATTAATTTCTAATAAATTAATAGTAAAATTTACTAATTCGAAAATTTACTAATAAATAGTAATTTTTACTAATTTAGTAAATTTCATAAATAAAAAGTAATTTGTACTAATTTAATAGTAAATTTTACTAATAAATAGTAATTTCAATTGAATTATTAATAAAATTTGTTAATTTAGGAGCAAATAGTCATTAATTTAAATTAATAAAAAATTTTTTCTATTTTAAATTTGGTGAGTAAAACTTGTGAAAAATTGTAAAATCAGTAAAAATTACTATTTATTAGTAAAATTTACTAATTCAAAGGCAAAAACTCAGATTAATTAATTAATTATTTAATTAGTTAATTAATTCAAATTATTAAACATTTTTACTAATTCAAATTTATAGATGAATTTCTGAAATTTATTTTTCCAAATTTGCAAAATTCGAAAATTTTTCCAAATATATGTTTATTTTTAAATTGAGTTACTAAAAATTTATGTTGTGACAAGTATTTTTTTTACTGCAAATTTATAAACTTGAAATAAATAAAAAATAATTATTTAAAAAAAAAGATTTCGTAGGTGGTTGAAAAATATTATAAAGAAATATTTGAATTAAGTAAAGTATTTTTTGCACTGTAATTTCAAGTACTTTCGTTCTACGTAATAGTAGAAATCTTCTTAAGGCTTCTAAACTATTTTTCTATATACAATTTGTATAATAGGTACATATTTAATATTTGTTCGTAAATTTCAATTCAATCATTGGTCCGTTCAAGTCAATCGAATAAATTTATTTTTGAACATTTCTGTTGAATTTAAGTTTATCTCATGACAACTTCAAGAAAGTTAATGAATTTTTTTTTAATTTCTCACAAAATTTTTTTATCAATTTGATAAAATAATAAATAACAAAAACTAATTCTAAGATTTTTAAAAGCTTTTTTTTTTTAATTAACCTTCATGAAATTGTCACAAGTAATCTTCAATTTGAATTTTACAGTCGAAACGTAAAGTTGATTTTTTTTGTTATAAAAAAAAGTTCTCAACTTTAAAATTTGATTTCTCTTTCTCGCTTTTTTTATATCGATTTAAAAGTACTTTTCTTTAGATTAAAAGTCTTTTTTCAATTATTTCTAATTCTTTTTGTTTAATTACTAAAATTTACATGAAAATTTTCTTTTCTTCTTTAAAAAATAGTCTCACTGAATTTTTTTTTTCAAAAACAGTGAGTGAGAAGAGATATATAAAAATGCAATGTATTATCGTCATGTCTGTTCGCAGACGAAAGTATATATATATTTTTTTTCTATCACAGTCAGCGGTAATCCGCACAATATACACTTGGAGGCTTAGAAAATATATCGAAATTCTTTTTTCTCTTTTGACTTCGAAAAAGACAGGAAAAACGAATTTTTAAGAAAATTTCCCATCATTCCGTATCGATACACTTTGTAAGCATCCGTCGCAAAATGTTTTTTTTTATTCTTATTTTCATATACTTAGAATTTCGTTATTTTCGTAAAATTGTTAGTTAGAAACTTTTTACAAAATTTATAAATCTTAATAATATTCGTTTTTTTCTGTGTTAAAAAAAAGAATGCGAATTCGTAATATTAGGTAATAAAATAAAATTGCTATTAATGACTAAAAATTGTTACAAAATATCTCGTTACAATCCTATGTACAAGCCACGTTGATAATGGCACATTATATATTTATTTGAACTATCGTTTTATATCAATAGAGGAGAAAAAATGGAACAAGAATTCTTGAGTATATCTTTTGTTCCCGGTCATGTTTCGTATTGTCAACTTATTAAGAGTTGCACTTTTTTTTCATTATCACAAATAACGCGATTTTTATATTGTGAATTATGTCTTGTAAGTACTAATATTTCTCCAGTAATCTTGGAATGAAAAAAAACTCTTTTCTGCCTTTAAAACAAATAAAAAAAAATTGTATTTCCAGTAAGGACGAGAATCGTCTAGCTTTGCTAACTGACTTTCATCCTTACCACGAATACCATTTTTTATTTATTTTATACAGATTATTTTACCATTAGCAAAATTTATCGAGTTTCGAATCGCATATTTCTTTTTTTTTGCTTTTCTCCTTCGTTCAGTCAATATTTCATGAAAAAAACACGTTTTTTCTTCATTTATTCATACCATTGAAATGCTTATTTTTTCAAATAATTCGCGGAATTAATCTAAAGAAAGTTTCTTACATCAAACAGTCGTTTCGTTTTTTCGAAGTGGCTTCAGTGGTTGCAATTCACGTTGCAATCGATCGAAATCGTTGTAATATTCGTGATCCGATTCTTCCTCGGAGCTTCGTTGCCTTGTTTGCGAGCCAAATGCTCCATTCGCGAGGACCTTCTCAAGATCGGGCGTTGGAATGCCTAAAGTTTGTGGAGTAAGTGGTCCGTCGTCTTGCGACATAATGTACTCCGGATTATCTAATGACGTTTTGCCAGCAATCGTGATAAAGTCTGGATACTTTCTATATCCATTGATCTTCCTCTTATGTTCGGGTTCTGAAAGAAAAAATAAACGATAATCAATCATTTCGTCCACCATTTCGAATTATCAAAAACTAACATCGAATTCGTACTCAGGAACCCTAAAAACCCCCGAGTAACAATTTTCAAGCGAATCGGAGTAAATTTAAAAAAAAAATGTCCGCCATATTGGATCCGTCATTTTGAATTTTGAAAAACAAACATTGAATTTGTACTCAGCGACCCTAAAAACCCCCGAGTAACAATTTTCAAGCGAAACGGAGTAAATTTTAAAAAACTGTCCGCCATATTGGATCCGCCATTTTGAATTTTGAAAAACAAACATCGAATTCCTACTCAGCGACTCTAAAAATCCCCGAGTAACAGTTTTCAAGCGAAACGGAGTAAATTTTAAAAAACTGTCCGCCATATTGGATCCGCCATTTTGAATTTTGAAAAACTAACAACGGATTCGTTATCAGCGACCCAAAAGACCCCCGAGTATCAAGTTTCAAGCGAATTTAAATAGATTTTGTGCCTTTTAGGCGTTTTCGCCAACCTCTGCTGGGTGCGCACTCGGTAAAAAGATGTTCTCGTCTTTAATTTCATGGTTTTTTTTGCTTCTGAAGGTTAAATTTAAAGATTTGAGTTTTTAGACCCTAATCGCGTTCTTATCAAAATTGAGACCCACAGAAATAAATGTCACCCACAAAATTGTAATTTTCGGGATGAATATTAAATTTTTCTACTCACCCGTCGATTTGGTATCCCCGATGAGATCCATATATTGCGTTGTGTTGGTGGGAATTTGAGGCGATGGCATTAGGTAATCATCCTCATCCACCGGAAGATCCAATTTCAGATTGCCAACTTGAGCTTGCTGATGCACAGAACTGACATCTGTATCAAAACAATCGTCCGTTACGTCACAATCTGCAAAATTAATTTTAAAGATTGTTTTTTAAAATGTTTTATGAATTACTTGCTAATTTGACGATTGCAAACTCTGATTAATATAGAATGCCTACCTCGTACGCCGACCATTTTTAGTGGATCAGAACAGTATCTGGAGCTGGAGCCATCGGAATTCATTGGTCCGCAATGTCCATTGGCGTGGACATAATGTCCATGTGGTCCAGAAATTGTAGAACCCTGATCGTGCGACGTACTTCCGTTTCCGTGCGTGCCATTGTACCTCAAAAATTCTCTATCCCAATTCTGTTGATTTTGAGGGGTAGGAGAATCAGTGGCTAGAGACATTCCATTCGGCCAACATGTTTTCATTGGCGTACTTGGTGGCGAGCCGGAAGTACTTGTCGTTAGAATACCCGGAGGTAATGGAGCTCTAGATTTGGGTTGCAGATACTCGTCCGTATCCATCAGCGACTCAAGTCCGTCCATTCCACTCGCGAGATTTCTTATCATGTCCTTCTCATCCTATAAGGAAAATTAATTAAATATCACAGTTAAGACACCTATAGGTTGCAATTAAATATCTGTGTTATACTTTAAGATTTTATTACTGAATGAAACTCACCTGTGAGGTAAACGATGGCAGTATCATGAATTTATCACCTATTATTGCGAGATACCGTCCGGGATCCCTGGACATCTTCGCAAATTCTTCAGCCAGCTCTTTGAAGCAAGGCCTTGATTCCGCGTCTAACATCCAACATTTAACCATAATCATGTAGACATCGATTGTACAGATCGGAGGTTGTGGAAGTCTTTCGCCCTTCTCGAGTAATTCGGGAACATTTCTCGCAGGCACATTTTCGTACGGCCTGCCGCCATAGGTGAGAACCTCCCAAATGGTGATTCCAAATGCCCAAACATCAGACTTGTGAGTAAATACCCTGTGTTGTATGCACTCGAGTGCCAACCACTTAATAGGCATTTTGCCACCTGCCGCTTTATATTGCTCCTCATTAATGTCTAACAATTTCGCTAGACCAAAGTCCGTTATTTTAACACAGGTACTAGTTTGCACAAGAACATTTCTCGCCGCGAGATCACGATGTACGAGTCTTCGTTCCTCAAGATATGCCATACCGCGGGCTATCTGAGTACACCAATTGAGCAGGGGCTTGGATCCAATTCTCTCCTTGTTATTACGCACGAAATCAAGAAGACAACCAAGAGGCATCAGCTGCGTAACCAACATCATCTGCGATGTCATGCAGACCGCGAGTAATTGAAGAAGATTTGGATGATCAACAGTGGCCATAATATAAGCCTCATCAAGAAACTCTTTCGATGTGTTAACATTAGTGCCCTCATGAAGTACTTTAATGGCAACGGGAATTTTAATATTCTCTCCTTCAGGGACCCAAACACCTTTATAAACATTACCGAACGCGCCATATCCAAGAATACCGCCCTTCCTCATCTCCTCCTCCTTGATAATACGAAGTTTCGCAAGATTTGGCTTCAAACCCGTTGGCCTCAGTGGTTCATTGTCATCCAAACCCGTTAAAGCCAATGTCATCTTCACTGTATTCTCCTTATTCTTCATTCGTCGACATTTAACATAAATTGTAAATCCAACGAAGAAGAATATCAAAGTTGTCGTCACAACCGAACCGGACACTATAAATATATTAAAGTCCTCTTCTTTCTTAATAGCCGCAGGTGTTAGGGAACAAAACGGATCACCAACCAGGGAATGTTCTTCTGGAAAAGTTTTGAAATATTCCGGTGGGCACGACTCTGTGCAATTGAAATCCGTCGTATTGTCTGCAGGATCACCCTCCTGTAAATTACAGAAAAATTACATATTCATTCTTTCTGAACTATTTACATCATCTTTTTTTCTTAAAGAATAACGACTTACCGAAAAGATTTTGAAATTACGACATCTCAGGCATTCATTAGGTCCTGGACCATAACATTCTCGACACTCGCTATCACATGGTAGACATAATTGCGTATCCGGTTTGTTAAAATAATCACTTCTCGGACAATCCTCCTCACATTGCTCTCCTCTTTTATAGTGTGTACACTCCTGACAAACTTGTTCATGAATTCCATAATTTGTACACTTTTTACATCTGGGATGACATTTTTTACAAACCGCTTTTCCAGCAAGTTTTTTCAAATATCCCTGCTCTTGAGGACTTACCCATTCGTAATAGTAACCTATTTGACAAAAGAATATGAATATACTTTTTGTTTTAATTAATTAGTATTTCAAAGGAGATTTTAAATTTACCTTCAGGACATGAATCCTTCTTCTGTAAGCAATCTCCAAGAATATTATGTTCCTCATGCATGGCCTTCTCACAACTACGACATCCAGATGTACCTAAATTATTCTCTGGACCGGTGCAACCTCCGACGCAATTCTCATGGCAAAGTTTACATTGTCCATTATCATTGTACTTTGATAGTGGACATTGTTTAACACAAAATGGACCGTCTCGAACGTGTTTGCATTGATTGCAGTGTTCAGCGTTAGGTCCATTACACGTGCCCTCACACTCCTCATGGCATGGTTTACAGATTTTCGAATCCGTTTGATAGATACTAAAAATTATGTAAGTTTCGATTAGTATTTAGACAAAGTTTCAATATTAATAGATACAAAATTACTAAATATTGTGGTTACCTTTCATCCATGCTCTTAGTAAGCATCGACAAATTAAAATAAATAAGTTACTACATCTCAAAAGATAGGAAATAATCAAACTTACCCAGGAATGATGTTGCAATTTTCTAGACAAACATTCTCGAGCATGTAATTCTTGCACGAGAGACACATTTCTGGACCGGGACCCCAACAACCATCCTCTGAACATTGGCTATCGCATACCTGTCCATCTTTTTCTGTAATTTAAAAAATCTCCTTTATAAACATTCATTTATGAGACGGTCCAAAAAACTGAGGTCGAATTCTGAAAATACTTACTGCATTCGGTTTTATTTTTATTATTTTGCAAAAGAATTCCATGTTCCGAGGATTTTTTTATTTTCGTCCAATTAATGCTACTAGCATAGCACAAATTTCTATTTTCTACAATTGCAATTGCGCCCGATGAGACTTTTTTCAATGATTTGAGATCAAGTGACATCAATGTTGTCTTAACAATATAAAGTGAGGCAAAATATTCCGTGAATGTACGACCGCCGATTACTTCTAAATTTCGAAAATACGACAACGAGGTGAAATTTTCATTATCTGCTTGTATATTCAAGAAACCGGTAATTTCCTTCAAGGTACTAAACACTTCCAATTTATCGGGATGCATGGGCAGATATCGTTGTCCAAATGTGAAATCATTATTTACATGCTGATAGCCCCAGAAACTTTGATCCAAAATTGTGATTGAACCCTCAATTATCGTGCAATCTTTAAAACTGTCAATGTTCCCGGAATGTACTTTATCGACGCCTTTACAAGTCTTTGGACATGGTCCATCACAGGGCACGCACTCGCCATGCAAGGCCTTCTTCTTTGGTGGACAAGATCGAACACAAGCGCCGTTATCTTTCAAAAGATGTTTCGGACATTTTTGAACACACGTGGCACCGTACGCATACTTTCCATCAGGATTCACTTCCCAAGAGTACGTCGTAGGATTGTATCTGTAAGAAGTAAGAGAATTATTTCCATTCTTTGCTATTGTATTAGATTTTTGATTGTAAATTCAAAATTAGGATAACTTACTTTTGCATTGGTGGACATTCTTGGGTACAAACGCCGTCGTCGTAGAAATTTTTACAAGCTAGACAGTTGTTTTGTTTCGGTCCCGTACAACCGCCGGCGCAAAATAAATGGCAACATTCTCTAGGATTGGGTCCATAGCATCTTCCCTGCCAGCATTGTGGTGAACAATTCATTTTCGAGAATTTCTGACAATTTTCAGGACCCTCACCCCAACATCCTTGTTCACAGCTTTTATCACATTCGGGACAAACTCTTTCGGGTGACGTGAAATTGTACACATAGTGATACTTGCCACCCGTACCGGTAATTATTTCGTCCCAATTGATCGTCTTGATGTGACAAAGATTGTAGTTGTTAAACATTCCAACGCTGCCATTGAGAATATCTTTAAAAAACATAAAGCAAAATTAGGTCTTTTGTTCAGAAATTCAGAAGATTAGAAGAGAATTCAGTTTCTTGACTTACCTCTAAGAGCCGGCATTTCGAGATTGTACATTTGACACATTGAGACGAAGAGAGCAAACTCCCTGTCGTGGATATTGAGTTTGAAGAGGTTTCTACCTCGGATGATTTGCAGACTTGGCAAAACGATTCTTCGCACATTGACATGACTGATGAAGACATATCCCGTGACTTCCCTAATGTACTGAAGGAAACTGAGGTCGAAGTCTTCATTTTCAAGCCAAGTGATCTCCAAATTACCATCAACGTAAGTACAGTTCGTGTACCGGTCCCTAAGATTTCGGTAGTGATACTGCTTGTTGGATGTCACAGAAAGACGGCCATTTGTTCCAATGCAAACTGTAATAAACAAACAGATGTTTTAGTAAATTTAGAACCAACTATTCATCATAAAACTATCATCATAGTCATTATCCGTAATTCGGTATTGCAAATTTCGATACTTAATAGTTAATACCTGATAACCATCATTAGTTGTTAGCTTTTTTGATTATTCCCACAATCAGAATTCAATCATTCTTCTAATTCGATACTCTGATATCAGAATTCAAATTATCTTCTAATTCGGTACAGTAAAATTAATTTGTCTATAGTTTTTTTCAAACATTGCGAATCCATAAATTCTTTTGAATTGGTCTCAAGCCTTTCGACTTAATTTGAGTCGTAATTGATACTGCAGCTAACATAAATTGAAAAAACATGTATAGCAGCATCTTCATCAAATTTATCGTTTTACGAACCTCTTGAAAATAATAAGTAAAGAGGGGAACAATGTATAATAACGGAAAAAAGGAAAAGCTGGTGAAACCCACCACCCACGTTGTTGAAAGCGCGCCTTCGATCTATAGATAGCTTTCTAGGTCTGAAAACGTAGGTTTTCGCCCACTTGAGGTGGGCGAACTGCTTCCATCAAAGCATGGAACACGCGCCAAGTTGTGAAACTATATAGTTTCATCAGGTAGAGGAGCAACAGCGGATAGTTGTGGAGTCAAAATTGTAGGTTTCGCCGGGGGAAGATAATGATACAATAATTTTATAAATCTTTATACATGAGATTATATTTCTTGCAACACTGAATTGATTCTACAAAGATGGATTGAGTTCGGATTACAATGATAATTAAGCTTAGAAGTGAGATATCGGAAATTATTATTACAAAATAGATTATTAGTTTATTACTGTAAAAACAGATATGTTTATTATTACAAAGCAGACATGTTTATCATTACAAAACAGATTGGTATGACTGCAAGACAGATATGTTTATTATTACAAAATACATATGTTTATCATTACAACAATTGTCATTAGTATTGTGTTACTAATGCAATTTATCAGTCACGATTATGGAGACGGACTTAGAGCCAACAATCGGAATCGTGCCAATTGGGTATTAATAATATGTACAGCATTGATTACTGTTTCTTATGTGCCAATTGCACAATGCTATTCTTTGAATTAGATCCGGAAACATAATTCCATTTATCGATGGACAGGTAATTGATGATCATGAACAGATTTCTAATTCTAATTAATAAAAATTTTTGTTCACAGATTGACTTCAGAAACAGAAAGAGTACGCAGAGTAGAAGATATTTGACCTTTGCTAAGTCCTGGGTCTTCGCAGAAGAGAAGGGATCTCCTAGGACTAGCAAGGGTTCAAATAATCTCTGTCTTCATGAGAAAGTTATTGCTTAACCTGAACGTAACAAACGAAAGAAAAATTTGGCCTTTGCTTGGTCCTGGGTCTTCGCAGAAGAGAAGGAATCTCCTAAGACTGGTAAGTGTTCAAAAAATCTTCTGTCTTCATAGCTATTGCTTAAACTGAACGTAACAAACAAACAAAAAATTTGGCCTTCATCTTGTCCTGGGTCTTCGCAGAAGAGAAGGGATCTCCTAGGACAAGCTTAGGTTCAAATAAACTTGTCTCCATAAAAAATGGTTTTTTAAATTAAATAATTAAAATTTAGTAACATAAGTCTGATCAATAATTTCGCGAAAATGTAGCATAAGCATATTTAATTAGACGTATTTTAAGTTTTTTCTAACATTGTTGTTTGTTGAAATATAATTCCCAAGTAGAAAGGTTACCGGTAATTATTATTTCCTAAAATTTTTTGTTAAGTTTAAACAGAAGATTTTGTGAATTTTCAGTGAAATTACTCTACGAAATTTTTGCGAATACTAGCGGTAAGCTTTTGAAGTGGGCTACGAATATTATACTTCACTTGACTTTGTTTATGAGAAATCTTTTGGTAGAATCAATTTAATGGTAACTTTTATACGAAGGCAATCTAATCTTTGCCATTTGTATACAATATTCATTAATGCAATAAAATATTTTTTCTGCCAATTGCACTACGCTATCTTTTGAATTAGATCTAGAAACAATTCTACTTATTGATAAACAGCAGATTGATGATGATGAAGAGAATTTCAATTCCAATTAATTTTGAATTAGTTTGGATTTTTAAAGTGCAGTCTATTGAGAATAATCTAAAGAAGAATAGAGCCTTCCATCAATCTTTATATAGTTAATTTAGAATTTAAATAATATTTTATAAAACAATCATTAGATGTGACCTCTCAAACTCCAGTAATAAAAGTAATATTCTTTTATCTCTGTACCATATTGAAGTTCAATGATCGTAGGATGTTTCTTCGCCTTTCTCTTTCTCTCTATCCTCTCGCGCATGTGATAATATAATCTTGTCTGCTGATCAAAATTATACGAAAATAATTGCACGGCAGAAGCTTTTAAGATCCTCCGATGTATATGCCTTGGTTCTTATTGTGATTGGAGAGACCTTATGGTACGCGAAAGTCAGCAAGAAGAATAAATTCTGCGCGAGTATTATACTGACGACGTGATGCCGCGAAAAGGACTATGGGTTGGAAAAAAAAGAGAAGGAAACAAAGGAGAAACTTTTGCTAACGCTTTGGTATTTGTTCCGGACAGAAGCTTCATTCCAAAATGGATACCAAAGGTAATACTCGTGGGTACATACCTCTACGTTCTCCATTTGCACCTGATTGGAGCCGGTGACTTCAACATTGTCAAAACTTTAAGAGTCACAAATCATGTCTTCGCTAATTTATCAACAAGAAATCATGGTATCCACTGTGAAATTTCGTTTCTTTTAATTAATTTAATTAAAGGTTTGGAGGAAAAAAATTATAATGAGCCAAAAGGCGCCTTCGGTACTTTATATAGTAATTGATCCGATATATAATTGGAAGAACACATATGGTAACAGAATTTGGACCCTTTCTTTCTGATTGAAGGCGAAGAGAATAGGATCTAGATTTTTGAAATTAAAGAGATAAATTCTAGTGTTGTTTTTGCTTCGAGAATAAAAATTGTACTTAAGTACTGAAGGTGTTTTCGTTTTGTTCAAGATCGACAGGCAAAGGACGTATGGTAAAAAGGTTTAAAAAAAAATCAAGGCTGGATGGACGTTTAGACAGGATAAAGTATATGGTGGGTCTGGTAGCAGTCAAGCAGTGCGAGTTGTAGTCTCTCCAAGATTGGCACGCAAACTCCTCTTGGCACGGCTTTACAACACTCTAGGTTTATTATATTGCCAAGACTGCTGTAGACTCTTGTGATAACATATGATTATCTTCCAAATCACTTCGCTAAAAGTTTTCGAAAATTACAGCAGAAAAATTAGCGCCTCTGCCAAATTTACGTATTCGATCCAACACCTGGGAGATAAAAAAAATTCCTCAACAATATTTTTTTAAACATTTCTGAAAAATTTAGATTTTTTCTTTCCTTCAGTACTTACGATATTTATTCCCGACCTAAAAACTACATTCAATTTGAATTCTAAATTTCGAACTAAAATTTCCGATTGGCGAAATTATTTCAGTGCTGAAAATATAATTGATGAAGAAGACATTGTGTTCTTTTTTAAACTACAGAATCGTTTTAGTTACTAGCTAGTGGAGCTAGAAAAATGTTATGTTTTCGTAGTTTCTAATTATTAGTTTCTAATTTATTGCTCGTTCAAACTCCAAAATTCACTAATTTGCAAGAAGAATAATTTACAACTATGATTTAGGTGTGAAATTTCGATAGTTTGTCGGGATTTTTAAGGTGTGAGTTGGATCCAGCCTCGAAATTTGTCGAGTCCATATATAAGAAATTGTATTTTTTAAATAGTCTCTTTTGACCTTTTTTTACCCTATGAAATATATTTTAAAGCACCGCAGAATAGAGGGCGTGTCAATTTTTATGCGGCACTTTAGTGTGTCATTAAAAGTCCCAAAGTAATACGAAATAACCGCACTCTGATGGTGGCGCCTCCATTTATTTGAGCTCGTAAACATCGATGCCTACCACCTTCTCAGTTCGCCTCTCTTTTTCTTTCTCGTTTCTCTCTCTCCCCTTTTTTCTCTCTCCCTCTAAAGTACATTTTTTTCTCAACTTTTTTGGGTTCTCGTGCCTTGCGGCTAAATATCCGACAAAATAAAAGGGCCCGACTATCGTAAACGCGCGAAATAACCATCAGTTTCGGCAATTTGGAGATCAGTTTGAGAGAAGATGGGAGTTCAGAAAACAATAATTTAGTTTTTCAACCACGAGGGTATCTATTGAATAACATACGAATTTTTATAACATAAAAACAAATTGCTTATAGCAATTTTTTAATAGGCGAAAAGTGGATGCAAATTTAGCGTATTGCAATTTTATAAAGTGAAGATATTTTTATAAGATTGAGGCGAAGATTGTTAGAATATGACATCAGAAGAATGTTGTTAGTAAAATAAATTTTCCACCTCTTCATCAGAGAAAGTTGCATTCTTCTCAAGTAAGAAGCTATGCGACCTTGTAATAAGTTAAAGAATGTTTGATAAATTGAATTTTCCTCTGTCTGTAATTATCATAATGTTTCATTTTGATCTCACAGCATGCAAGAGATAGAATTATTCTAATCAGTAACATTAATAATGTCTGCTTTAATGTTTTCTGATATTTTGTCATTATTTTCAATATGAGGAACGTAATAGTAGCCTTAGATGGCACGTAATCTTGAAGCAAGCTTGCCATGCAAGTTTTGCTAGCTTCAAAGACTTTAAAAAATTGTTTACACTGAAAGTAAGAAAAAAAAGAAAAATTTGACCTTTGCGTTGTCCTGGGTCTTCGCAGAAGAGAAGGGATCTCCTAGGACAAACTTGGGTTCAGATAGTCTTTTCTTCATAAAAAAATAGTTGCTTAAACTGAACGTAACAAAAAAAAGAATATTTAGCCTTCGCGTGGTCCTGGGTCTTCGCAGAAGAGAAGGGATCTCCTAGGACTGGCTTAGGTTTAAATAATCTTTTCCTTGATTAAA